AGGGTCTTAAGAATACTAGGGCGTCGAGGGGGGCCTTTTTACGGCAACTAGATTGGACACAGTGGCCCCCCAAAGTCAGCAAAATCAGCAAATTTCCGAGATTCGACCACTTTTTGACCAACTTTGGTCCCAAAATCGTTGCGGTCAAAGGCAAAATCGTTGTGGTCAACGTCTTCCCGATACAGGGCATGAAAGAGTAGGGTCTTAAGAATACTAGGACGTCGAGGGAGGCCTTTTACGGCTACTAGATTGGACACAGTGGCCCCCCAAAGTCAGCAAAATCAGCAAATTTCCGAGATTCGACCACTTTTTGACCAACTTTGGTCCCAAAATCGTTGCGGTCAAAGGCAAAATCGTTGTGGTCAACGTCTTCCCGATACAGGGCATGAAAGAGTAGGGTCTTAAGAATACTAGGACGTCGAGGGAGGCCTTTTACGGCAACTAGATTGGACACAGTGGCCCCCCAAAGTCAGCAAAATCAGCAAATTTCCGAGATTCGACCACTTTTTGACCAACTTTGGTCCCAAAATCGTTGCGGTCAAAGGCAAAATCGTTGTGGTCAACGTCTTCCCGATACAGGGCATGAAAGAGTAGGGTCTTAAGAATACTAGGACGTCGAGGGAGGCCGTTGGCCGCAACTAGATCGAAGCAGTGGCCGCTCAAATTCAGCGAAAACGGCCACTTTCGGAGATTCAATCACTTTTTGACCAACTTCGTGACGTTACTGGTCACAAATCCAAAGGCCCCGGCAGATTTTTCTGCCTGTCTGCCCTGGCCAGTCCGAGCCTGCACGTGGCCCACCTGATTGCACGCAAAGCGAAGCAAAGCGTCCTTCTCGCTCCCGCACGGCGCCGCGCTGCCCCCGAGTGCGACGGCGACGGACGCCACGCCCAGAGGCCGGCGCGGACTCGGCCCCTCGGCCTCGGTGGAGGCCTTGATGCCGGACCGGCTGGACCGGACCCTGGGACCCGCCCACGCTAAGTGGCTGGGTCGGAGTGCGGCCTGCGGCCCGAGCCGGGACCGGGAGGGACCGGGGGGGCCCGGGGGGCGGGGGGGGGGGGGGGGGGGGGGCTGCCAGACTTGACTTCACGATGATGATTAGGTGCTCCCGTCTTCTTCAAGTATACATGCGCGTCGCCGCTGCTGCTATTTGCATCGCACATAGCCGCGGGGGCCAACAGGCCCAACAGCCCGCGCCGTGTGTGTGTGTGTGTGTGTGTGTTCACGGTGCCGGCCCCGGAGGAAGTGTGAGGATGGCGGCGGAAAGCGTCACTGCTGCCCCCCCTCTCTTCCCATAATCCGCTCTACTCCACATCCCTTCTCGTGTTCCTCCTGCCCTCCTTTGTGGTGCTTTGGACCCCCCCCCCCCCCCCATTTTCCTTCTCGAGTTCCCCTTGCCAGGGTCGGGTGCTTGTTTCCCTGATACGTCGTCGGCAAACAAAGAAAGGCGAGTGGTGCCAAGGATGAGGCTTATCCAACCCCCAGTTATTTTTATATCTTTTTTTGTTTGTCCAAAGCCAAAGCAAACTAGAAGCTGGAATACTCGTTTTTTTCTGGTTTTTTTTCTCTTGCTACTTTGTAACTTTTTTCCTGGCCCGACGAGAAATTGTTGATTTTTCTCTTCCGTTGCAGGTGTCTGGTTCAATTTGCGAAAAAAAAGGAGTTGTTCTGTTTTTTGAAGGAGGAAGAATGGTTGTCGTGATGGGTTCCATTGATCCGGTAGAGGGCTTTCCGCGTCGCTGTCGCGCCTAGGCGGCAACACGACGTGGCTGTCTGGCGGCCTGGCCTACTCCGCCACTGCAGGCACACTGGCCACCGCCCGACAAGAGAAGAAAGACGGAGGAGAGAAAGATTAAAAAAGATATCCTTTTTTTTTGCTGCCACTTTGTCCTCCCACCCTGTCTAGACACGGCACTCTATCGGGGCGATCCTCGTCGCCGAGTCGTCTGCAACTTGCCGCCGATACGGGGCGTGGACGTACAACACTCAAGGCAGTGCACCGGAAAGTAAGGAAGCGGGCACTGGAAGAAGTCCTTCAACCCAAACAAAAAAAAGTGAAATTTTTAGAATAATGTAAAATGGCCCCCGAATCAAGCGGGGCATTATAAATGGATCTCCCGGTCCGAGCGTCAGGTGACGCCTCGACGAAGGAGGCCTTGGCTGATACGAACCGAGCGTGGAGTCGAGGGGTGCACAGGTGCAAAACCGCATCGGGAGAGTCAAGTCTAAAAAGAAGTAAAGGTGGGGTAATCCATCAATCCGTTCACTTCTCATCAGAATTGCAACGCAAGGAGGAAAACACGCCATGAAGCAGCGGTCCTTCCCGGAATTCCCCTCCCCTCTCTCTCTCTCTCTGTCTCTCTCTCTCTCTCTCTCTACCCTTGGCTGCAGGCGAGAGGTCGCTGAGGCTCGGTCGAGAGTGCGGCGGGCTTTCCCTTCCACACTGTAACTTTGGCGCGCTTTTGCGGCTGGTCGACTCTTGCGTGGCTTTTCACCACATGACTGCGCGGCCCTGCGGTGGGGAAGTTGTGTGGAAGGGAGGGGGGGAAGTGACGGAAAGGACGCGATTATACTTAAGAGAGTCTCTTCGTCGCTCTGTCTCTCTCGCACCCGTACGGGACGCCTCAGGAGTGCGACGGAGACAGAGCGACGTGGGTGGTGGTGGTGGCGCGGACGGGTACAGTGTAAGTGTACAGTCGGGTGCAGCCCAGCCCCGTACGCGAGGTGGAACGACCGACGACCCACGCGTTCGAGACTTTGCGACTTCGAGACATCGAGACGTGCGGCGTGGGGGGCGTAGGGAGGGTAAGGTGGCTTAGCGGCGGAGGGGGGGGGGCTAGTCAGTGTAGCAGCCGGTACAAGAACGGCGGACAGCGGCACGGCGACAGGGCGCCGCCGGGCCTCGACCCTAGCGCCTGCGGAGAGCGACGTAGGCAATCCCGCCAGACACGGCGGTGTGGCGGGCCGGCCCACCCTCGCATTCACAGGCGCTACAGGGACAGAGAACGAGCGCGCGCGAGAGAGAAAGACAGAGACAGAGACAGACAGACAGACAGACAGACAGACAGACAGACAGACAGACAGACAGGCAGGACAGAGAGCCGTAAAGCTGCACAAATGACCGGTTGCGCTCGCCGGTTGTCGGTGTGTGGGTAAGGCCGGTAAGGGAGTGTGTGCGACTCGGCAGTGATTTTGGGAGGGAGAGGGGGAGAGTAATCCCAGTTGTTATGACGACCACGTACAAGAAAAAAGGGACGTCCCCTTGAGAGCGCGCGTAAGGTCAAGGCAGGGCGGGCCGGGGCCTCTCCAACACCATCACCACCACCGCGCGGCACCGCGGCACCGCCCTCCTAAATACTTGAATCCGAACTAATATGGTCTCGGATGCCTCCCGGGTCCCGGTCTATTCAATTAGCCGGCGGCCGGGAGAGGGCGGGAAAGGGAAAGGCCCTCAACAAAGTTGCGCAGCAGCGCGGGGCAGCGCGGGGCTCGGAGCCGCCGTCGGCCCGCCGACCCCGCCAATGCGGTTTGACGAGCGCCGTGAAACAACACGGGAGTGTGTGTGTGTGGGGGGGGGGGGGGCGTGTGCGTGTGTCCGATGGTAAACAGGGCTTTGCGATACGAGTTTTCAAGGCCGTGCGCCGCGACTGTCACTCCCTTCATTTCGCACGCTTCCGCCCTCCGCCTGCCTGGCTGGCTGCCTGGCTGGCTGCCTGCGTGGCTGCCTGCCGGCGCCCTTCCGCTGCCACGCGCCCTTCGCCTGTCGTCCTTGCGGCTCGTCAAGGCTCCCCAATACAAAAAAAAATATTTAAAAAAAATGAACAAATTTGTATTTTTTTCTCCTCCTGTTAGAACTACTATACAAATCCGAATGGACTGAACAACACGCTTTAAATCTTACGAAGTATTTTGAGCATACATAGTACATACTAATTTACTCTGTAATACGAAGAAATGGTTAGTAAAGTGCGAAGTATTTTCTTAGTAAGCTACTGTATGCTCTAAATACTTTGTTATAACAAGCTAAATTTCGTTGTATGGCCCAAAATGGTTGGTAAGGTTGTCAGAGTGAGAACAAAAATGGTCCGCTTTTGCTACGTGTATACTTCTCGTGTCAAAATTAATTCTCTTGCCAAAATTGCTTTTTTTTCTGAGAAATCAATTTTTTGTGTTGAGACAGTCAGGTTCCCCTGTTTCGCGCGCTGTTTTGCGGTGCACACACGGCGAAACGGTTCGGCATCCCGGTGTGTGCTCTGCGTGTGTGTGTGTGTGTGTGTGTGCGTGTGTGCGCGTGCGCGCCCGCTGTGCCGGTACCGCGGGCGTGTGCTCGACAAACACTCGCGGACAACATTCACGGCAACAACAACACCCGCGTCAATACGGGGAGGGAGATCCGAGACTGCGAGGCAGCAGCGAGGCATCAGTGAAGCCACGAGGCCGTGGCTGGCGTCTTATGAGGGGCTCGACGCCGAGGCTGTCTTCCTGGCCGCCTCACCCCGCCTCGCCCCGCCTCGCCCCGCCTCGCCCCGCCTCGCCCCGCCTCGCCCCGCCTCGCCCCGCCTCGCCCCGCCTCGCCCCGCCTCGCCCCGAGGGAGTCCCGAGCAAGGCCTCCATATGCCTCGCCCAGGGGCCCTGGCCCAGGGCTGCACGGGGCTGCACGGGGGCGGCGCGGGGACCCGGGGGGCCCACCCCCCGCAGTGGGGTCCCGCAGGTCTTAAGGGGCCACCCTGGGGACGCCCCCGGGGCTCGCTGAGGGGACACCCTACGACCCGAACACGTAGCGAGCCAATATAGGCGCACGCCCCCGTCCGTTCCGGCCGGGGGAGGGGGAGGGGGAGAGGACCGTGACCCTGGGCCAGCAAGCCCGGCGCACTCCGCTGCAGACGACGGCTTTCTCTCCGTCGACGCACAGCGACGCACAGCGTTCATAGGTCAACAGCTCTGTGCGCGCGCGCGCGCGCGCGCGTGTGTGTGTGTGTGTTTGGCTGACCACAACAGATTCACGGCACTGTGACTGCTGCAGCCCCGATTCTGCGAACCGGGGTCGACAAAGACTTCCAAATTGGCTCATGGCGCTGCGAGAAGTAGTTTTCCGAAAAGTCCTCCACGCGGTCTGGCTCCGGCGTGCTGTGCGGAACGGCCAGGCGTATGATTCGCAGAGCGGCTTGTCTATTATGTTCTGTTCTGTTTTCTTCTCTCTCGCACCCGCGCGGCACGCAAGGCGGCACGCCCCAAGACGGTGCGACAGAGAGGCAGCGTCGCGACGCCCTTTCCGCTCGACGGCGCCACGCAGCGCCACGCAGCGCGACGTCCCCGAGAACGTCCCCAGCATGCAGCGCGATACGCCACGCACGAGGAGGAGCAGGAACTTGGCGGGGCGGGGCGGGGCGGGGCGCCCTGGGTGTGCCGGCGTGCTGCCCGAATACGGAATGAAGTTAACCTCGCGGCGGAGAATTAGAACCAGTGGCGAACAGGCAGACCCCCAGTGGGCCCGACGTCGCAGCTAATCTATTCATTTATGTATCTGTCGGAGGGTGCGGCTGGGCACGGCACGGCCCGGGCGACGCGCTGCACAGGCGGGCCCTGCCTCGGCCCTGCCTCGGCCCGGCCGCCACCTAGAGCCCTTGCATAGCATAGCCTTCCCTTCCCCGCCAGGGCCGCCAGGGCCGCCGCACATGTCATGGTGTTTGCCTGGTACACAGCGAGCCCTTCCATCTGGGCCTGATCGAAGCCTGCACTGTAGCGAGCCATGCTCGAGGCCATACTCCATGCTGCGGCCTCCACGATGCTTCCCCCGCCTCGCTCCGACTTCGACCTTCTCGCTTCCCGATGACAGTCACGATTTTTGCTGTGTGGGAGGTTGGACGCGATTACCAGTGCGGGTGACGAGCTAGAACTCATTACTTCTCACGTTTCGGTTGTTCCTCTTTTTTTTGTGATTGTTAGTGCTTGTCGTACTAGAGAGCGCGTTCGCAGAGCGTGGCTGGTGTCGCTTACAAGAGCAGTGCCAGTTATTACGTTACCCTTAATTGCATCCGAACGTCAGCCTGCTGGCTGCAATAAGATAAGCATTCGCGAAACGAGCCGCGGGCGTGAAGCAAAACAATATAGGCAAGTGCGGAGAAACGGCAAAAAAATAAAAGGGATGGGAGGAACTAACAACAAACCGAATGGCCGAAGCCAGTCGTTTGGTACAGAAGAAAAGAAAGTCAAGAAAAAGCTGTTGCTCTTTTTTTCAAACGAGCGTGTCTCTAAGATTGCCCCAGAGGCGAAGACGTCCATTGAAATGCTCCCCTGCCCGTCTCGTCGCCGGCACGTTGTTACTTGGTTGCGGGGCGCGGCGCGGTGACCTCACCGCCCCCGGTATTACAGTCCATTCCTCAGCAGCCACAGGCCCACGCCGATGTCCCCCCCCCCTTACCGTCCGAGACGGGCAATGACCGGGCGTGACGGGATCCGCTGCCATGCCGCGTCAAACTTTCGCGTGTCGCATAACTGTCAAAGTCATCTCCAACTCACACGGTACTTAGTCGGTCGCGTTAAAAATAATCGTAGAGTCCAATAATTGTCGTTGCTTTTTAGGACTGTTTTGCGTGATTTTTTTTTCGAGCCGACTGGCCTCTACCCTGGCGCGGCACAGTGGACCAGAAGACCAGCGTAGGTGGCCAAAACTCTGGACGCGTTTGAAGCTCCAGAGTCGCTAAAGAGGACTCGAACCGAGTGTGACCCCACCAATGGATTCCTCGTTCGGAGAGCAATCCATTGGTGGGGTCACACGTTCGGTTCGAGTCCAGTTTAGTCACTCTGGAGCTCAAAACGCGTCCGGGATTTTGACTGCCTCCACCGGTCTTCTGGCCCACTGTGTGCTCTGTGCTCCGTTCGCTCCGCTCGGACGGCGCGCCGGGGCGCCCCCTTCAAACGCTGCCCCCTTCCCGCCACGGCGCCACGCCACGGCCGATGCAACTTCCGGCGCCAGGCCCGCCAACCTCGGCCGACCTGACCAGCCGAAGGGCCGCCCCGTCGCTGCGTCTCTCTCGCACCCGGACGGCAGGCGCGTGAGTGCGACAGAGACGGAGCGACGAAAACGCCCTTCGGCCTGCTGCACGGGGCGTCATCAGCAGCGCCACTTTGATTCGTTGCCTCTGAATAAAACATGCCGCGCGTCTCTCTCTCTCGCTCCGCCTGGCTCCGCCTTCATCCCTCTCCGTCACGCCACTGCCGCCTCTCGCCATCCTCTCCGTCTGTCCGGCCAACGGCCCCTGTTTCAGAAGAAGCGGTAATGAATGCGAAGATGTCTTTTTCTCTCTCTCTTTTTCAGTATAGTTGTTTTCATTATTTTCATACGCCCTCGCCCTTCCCCCGCCCTGTTTTTCTCTTTGCTCTGGCTCCATTTCGGAATCCGAAACATCTTTGGCGGCGAAGGGAACAACACGGCACCGCACCCTTCGCCAACGTCAACACAATAATAGGGCCGAATTGTGTTGTTTTCTTTGCACAAAAAGCGGTGCGGGTGTTTGCGAGCGGGGGCGCGCCACAGTGGGCCAGAAGACCGGTGGAGGCGGCCAAAACTCTAGACGCGTTTGGAGCTCCAGAGTCGCTGGAAGAGGACTCGAACCAAGCTTGTGACCCCACCAACGGATTCCTCGTTCGGAGAGCAATCCATTGGTGGTGTCACGCGTTCCGTTCGAGTCCTCTTTAGCGACGGTGGAGCTCAAAACGCGTCCGGAGTTTTGACCACCTCCACCGGTCTTCTAGCCCACTGTGCGCGGCTTGGAAAGGGGTGGGGGTGGAGGCGGAGTGTCACTCGGAACACCGCTGGCTCTTCCTGCACGCTGCGTTCATTCGGCTCGTTCCCTCTGCTCCGCTCGGCTCCGCTCGGCTCCGCTGTCAACGGGACCACTGGCCCGTCCCGCCTGCTCTTCTTTTGTCTCCGCAAATACGAACTCGACGATCCCTCGCGATGCCGTGGGCCGCCGCGCCGTGCCGCGCCGAGGGTGCGCACAGCGCTGAGTCTGCTGTGCGCTGCGGCCCTGCTGCTTTCCTGGCACTTCGCCCACCCTCTTTGTTCAGACACCAAGTAGTCATACCAGGGTTAATCATTTTGTTTCAATCACACCAGGTCCTTCTGTCAATTTATTGTTTTTCGGCACTTCCACGCTCTCTCTCTCTCTCTCTCTCCTGGAGCCGTCTGGATGAACTCTCGAACGCCGCCGGGCCGCGCAGGGCGCGCAGGGCACTTGGAGCCGGTGTGCAAATAATTGTTGAGGTGCCCTCGCGTTCCTCGGGCCACACCCTGCTTCCTTCCCTCGGCCGCCTCGGCGCTCCCAGACTTCCGGTTCCCCTCGCGGTTCCCGCTCCGGAATCAGTTACACAGCCAAAAAGTTAAACAGAGAAGTTTGATGAAAGCACACCCTCCAGTTAACACGAATAAAATTTCGTTTCCGATGGTTTTTTTTGTGACTGTGTGTGTGATCGTTAAATGGAGAGTGTCGTTCGTGGGCCGCACCCACAGGTACATGCCGGCGCTAACAAATCAAACGCCCACCGTTACACACACACGCACACACACAGAGGCGAGCGGGGTAACTTGTTACGGCTGGCTGCTTTGTCGGCGTGACGGCAAACAAGTGCTGCCGTGCATACTAAGTGCCCCTCGGTACCTCGCTGCCGGCAAGGCCTTGCTGCCTTGGTACCTGGTAAGTGGTACCCTCCGTCAATAAAACCGGTGCTTCAGCGGCCCCGGCTCGTTCATGGTGATCATACTTAGCCGGAGCGTTGGCCCAACGGCCTTCGCACAGCCCACCCCCTCTCTGCCCCACCCCCTGGCCCAACATCTGGCCCACCCTCTGGCTCACTCCCTTGCCCACCAAACGCCCCTATTATAGTGTCTCCGGCGTTTCCCACCCCAAAAAATGTCTTTCTTCGTTTTTCACAGTGTGCTGCGCCACGCCACCTGAGCCCCGGCCGTTCAGCCCGCCTTTCTCGTGTCGATTGGACTGCATCTCTCATCTCGCTCTGTTCGCCCCTCTCCTTCTAATCGCCCGCCTCGGATCCATTTCCATCCCACCCTCATCATCCCTCTCTCTTTCCGCCCATTCCACTCGCGCCTCCCGCCGTGCGGAATACCGCGCGACAAACTATTTGTTGATCAAAGTGACGACCACACAAGTCGTGATCTTTGTGGCCGAGGTAGTTTGAACAGCTGGCTGGGCAGGGTTTCCTCGTTCCTTTCCGTCTGTCCCCCTCGTGTTCCCTTTGACAAGCCCCTCCGTCATGCCCCTCCTTCAACTTAGGTCCTCGGACCATATGATCTTGATCTTGCCTCGATCCCTCCCTTGGCCGGTCTTCCTCCTGCGACCCTTACGAGGAGTCCATTGGTGGGGTCACACGTTTTGGTTCGAGTCCCGTTTAGCGACTCTGGAGCTCAAAACGCGTCTAGAGTTTTGGGCCGCCTTCACCGGTCTTCGGGCCCACTGTGGAGCGAGAGAGAAAACCGCTTCACCCTCCGAGCTTGGCGGCGTCGGCGACGGCGTGGCAGTGCTGTGAGGGCGGCCGGACTCAGCAGGCAGGTTTGTTGTTAAAATTTGTAACTTGGCGGTCAGTTTGCAGTTGGTGACGGCGGTGGTGTCAGGCGGCGGCGAGCGGCGTGTTGGTGGCGGCGGCCGGCCTGGGCGGCGTCCTGGCGTACACGTACACGTCGAAGTCGGGCCGCCGCATCACGACGCCCCGGTAGAAGGCCAGCTCGGCGACCAGGGCGAGCGCGGACAGCAGGTAGCCCGCGCCCAGCGCCACCAGGGCGCCGTACAGCTTGCGCAGCTCCATCAGGGCCTTCACGGACTCCTCCTCCTTGCGGCCGCTGCAGCATGCCCACAGTGGATTTGCCAGAAGACCGGTGGAGGCGGCCAAAACTCTAGACGCGTTTTGAGCTCCAGAGCCGCTAAATAGGACTCGAACAGAACGGGTGACCCCACCAATGGATTCCTCGCTCGATTCGAGTCCTGTTTGGCGACTCTGGAGCTCGAAACGCGTCTAGAGTACCTGGGGTCCGTGGCCGCGGTGGCCAGCATGGCGTCCGTCAGCCACTTGTGCACCAGGCCGGCCTCGATGACGCGGCGCAGGAAGCGGTCGACGCGCGGCTTGAGCGGCGAGTTCCTCTGCAGCCCCAGCGAGATGGGCATGTTGATGACGCAGTCCCGCATGATGTGCAGGTGGCGCGACTCGGCCGACCCTGCAGCAGCCCCCGCAGGCCCCCCGCCGCCACCCGGAATTATTTACCAACGACTTACTTATTGATGGCTGGCGTCCGGATGCAATTTTCATGGCCAAAGTGCACTCGCAACACCTCTACGGCGGTCGCTCTTCGAACGTGCTGAGTGGTAGGAAGGCCTGTGACCTGACCACACGACTCTGTCCGCTTTCTTTTTTACTATTTTCACTCCGGTGCCTTCAAATCGAACTGGAATTGAAGACGCATCACGGACTCGTAGTTTCAAAAGCAATCGCCTGGTGGTGATTGCGGAGCTGAAAACGCGTCTCTAGGCTCCACGAAAATCGACAGAGAGCCTGCAGTTTTTTTTTTCTGTTTTGTAAACATTTTAGAAACACTCGCGACGCGCCCCCGTGGACCCCGCCCTTTTTAAGTACTTAAGTCTTGTATAAAAGCGATTACACCGGCGGGACCGCGGGGCCGTCTGGGTTGCGCGGCCTGGCGGGGCGGGGCGGGGCGTGCCCCTGGGTGTTGATTGCTGTTTGCTCGCTGAATGCCTTTGCACCGCCCACCCTAAGCAAAGACGCGCCAAAGACGCCCTCACCTTCACCCTTGTCACCTTGGTCGCCTTGGTCTTTGGTCACCATAGTCCTCGGTCACCTTGGTCACCTTAGTCTTTAGTCACCTCGGTCACCTTTGTCTTTGGTGACCTGGGTCACCCTAGTCACCTTGGTCCTTGGTGGCGTTGGCGGTGGCGTTGGTGCCCGCCGCCTCGCTGCTGTTCCCGTGGCTCGTGGCGTTCCCCGCCGCCACGCCGCCACCGCCTCCGCTTCCGGGCGCGGCCGGCGCAGCAACAGCCTCACTATTGGCAGCCTCGCTGGTGCTGTTGTTGTTGGCGGTGCCGTTGTTGTTGTTTGGCCTGCGAATAGCGCGTGAGTTGATTTGTATGCGCGGCGGGCCGCCGGGGCGGCAACAATAATTGAAACGAAGCGGCGGCGTCGCGTCGCCACTCGGAAAGCTCTGCTGCTGTTATCGGAGTTGTGATGCTCATACTTAGTTTAATGAACTGCGAGAACGGTTTAGGAAAGTCGGCGCAAGTGTCGCAATGCGTGCCGAATGATATACTTTTAATAAGTTCTTTTTCATCGTCAGCGAAAAGTGTGAGCATTTTTGGCCAGATTGCTTGCTCGCCACTCACCCTTCACTCTGCTTGGCGATTTTCATCCTCCTGCGCGCCGCGGCGTAGCGCAGGAAGTGCGAGTTCTCGTAGTAGGCGAAGCTCCCCTGCGCCACGCGCTCCACCCCGTTCTCCCAGTCATCGGTCACCTGTCAGCAGCCAACCGTTCCGGCATTTTACAGCCGATGGCCGGACGGGCCCTCGCCAGTCGACACATGAATGACATGCAGTAATTCCGCGAGTTGCTTTGTTTACCATGCGAAAAAAGGGGGGAGTGGCCAAAGGCTCGTGCACAAAAGAATACAGTTATTTAGTGCACTTTTTTTGCTGTTTTCGCGTGCTGTTCTTTTTTGGGCAGTGGAATGAATGAATCAAAGGCCAGCAAAACGGGATGGACGGGTCTGCGAGGGGAGAACACGAGAAACATCCGCATTCAAAAAGTTTTTTTTTTTAATACTAAATTTACTTAGTTTGAAGACACTTGAAACTCATTTAAGAAATCGACGTGTTTTTTCTGGGAGAGGTCCGCTCTTTGATGTTCCTTGAAAGGACCTACTTTCATTTTTGGGGCCTATTGAGAGACGCAGTGAGACGCACTGCGGCCGCCGCGGCCTACCTCGAAGCGGCGCCCCACTTTCTGGCCCGCCTCGTCGAGGGACGTCAGGAAGAAGTCCTTCTGGTGCTCCCCCCAGCCGCCCACCTCCAGGGACGAATCGGCCAGCTGCTCCAGGGAGTCAATGGTGATCCTGTAACCAAAGGAAGTCTCTCTCCGCGGACCTTTTTTTTTCTGTTTGGGCAAAGGCGGGCTGTGTACATATTTCCCGCGCTATCGCTGATGCTGCTCATTACCAGTGGGGCAAGGGGGCGTGACGGAGGCCATCAAGTGACGCAACGCTACACTGTTTTGCACTCGGGGGCCAATTAAGCAAGTCTAGGTGCTCGGCTTGAGGGCCATGGGCCGGGCTGAGACGCAGCCTCATGAATCTTCATCAAAATCTCGCCCATCCATCCTTGGGGGACGGGACATGTTGAGGGTCGCTTCCATCTTCCAGCCCGTTACGTGATTTATGAATCGTGTCAATCCGTTCGGTAAGTGTTTGCAGTGCCGTGGAGATGGGTCCATCTCGGTGACGTACTTGGGCGCCGGGTTGGCGAGGATGGCGGTGAGCGCGGCGCGGTACGCCACCACCACCAGGATGCTGTAGAGCCACCACCAGCCCGTCAACACCCTGACCGGCCAGGCCGTGGGGATGCGGGGCAGGGACACGCCCAGCAGCATGCCGCACGTGTAGAGCATGGAGGAGCCCAGCGACTCGGCGAACAGGTGGCCCGCCGTCTTCTCGGGGGCCTCGTCGTGCTCCGGGACGCCTGTGCGCAAGGAGGTCAAAATCCCGGACGCGTTTTGAGCTCCAGAGTCGCTAAATGGGACTCGAATCGAACGTGTGACCCCACCATTGGGTTGCTCTCCGAACAAGGGATCCAATGGTGGGGTCACACGCTCGGTTCGAGTCCCATTTGGCGACTCTGCAGCACAACACGCGTCTGGAGTTTTTGGCCCACCGTGGAACGTAGTGTAGAGCAGCCGCCCAGCCATCGACCCGAAAACAAATTCACAAACAGTTTTCCAAAACTGTGAGTTTGGACTCGTTTTCCCGCTCGGCCCGGACGTGGCTTGCGGGCAGCTGCCCCCGGGCCGACCGTCCGTCCCTCCGCCCTCGCGCCCTCGCGCGCCGCGCAGTGCGTTGTGTTTCATGAATCAAATTTGCCTTGCATCAGACGGCTGCGCGTTCGGCCAGATTTACGCCGCTGGCCCGCCTCGGCCGCTTCCTACCGCCACCGGAAGTAGCTGCGCTATATCCGGTTACAGTGCACCAGTGGGCCATAAGACCGGTGGAAGCGGCCAAAACTCTAGACGCGTTTTGAGCTCCAAAGTCGCTAAGTGGGAATTGAACCGAACGAGTGACCCCCACCAATGGATTCCTCGTTCGGAGAGCACCATTGGTGGCATCACACGTTCGGTTCGAGTCCTGTTTAGCGACTCTGGAGCTCAAAACGCGTCCAGAGTTTTGGCCGCCCCCACCGGTCTTCTGGCCCACTGTGCCGCGGCCCGCCGAAATTAAGTGTGGCCTCGCGCTGCGCGTTGCGCGGGGAACACGCTCGCCGAGAACGACGCCAGACAGGCGGCCGAGGCCGGGCGCTGCCTTGGCGCTGCCGGGCGGCGCCTCGAGTCCTTGAGGCCTTGAGTCCTGGGGCGTTGGTGTCGCTGCCGCTTCCGAACGCACTCGCTCCAAGTACACTGACAGAGTGTGTACAGCCCGCGACAAAACGGCGAGGATTTCCCTGGCGGCCAAGGGCGTCGCGTCGGGGCAAGGTAGCGATTCTCCCGCCAAAATCACAGAGAGGGGGAAAACAAAAGGCAAGGTCACGGGTGACAAGAAGGCGGAGAACTTTGCTGGCGGTAAATTGTCTACGATCTCCGAAAAACTCCCAAAAGCCACAAATGTTTCTGTTTTGCGTGAGTTCCCGACAGGTGCAGTACAAAAAAAGGAAGCCTTCTGGAAGCTTCGGAACGCTGTTTCAAAGATTTTCCGAATTGTTTTTAACTGTGAGGCGATGCCGCTTGGGGCAGGGGTGCCCCCGTGGCCCCGTGGCCGAGCCCGAGCCCCGTCTGAGGTTTTACGCCTGTCATCGACTGAGCAGATTGTCTCCGAGATGGTTACGATGATAAACCGAGCAGTGGCGCTGCGGCGGCTACATATTGATCGTAAAACAGGTCAAGTGGACGCGTCCGCGCGCGTCCGCGGTTCGAGGCGACACTCCACCCGAAAATGAGCTCCTGGAGGGCCAGAAAGGGGGGCCGTTCCGAGCTGGATGGCACACATGGGGTAGAAGACGTCCTCTGCGTTGCCAAAGGGGTTGGCCGATGCCCAAAGATGCACCAGCGTCACATTGGGAGGTCGAAAGGCTGTCAGTGACGTCACAAGGATGCGGTGTTGGCCAATCACAGGGCAGCCCGGCAGTCATTCGGTCTTGCGAATACTTGCCGTCTGCAGCTGGCGAGCCCTTGCCAGCTGCCCCCCGATGCCGGCGTTATTAATCGCTTTGTGGCCCTTTTTCTTTTTGTTCCTCTTTTACTCCGCTATTATTTCAAGGGCCGGCCATCAGGATGGCGCGGACGACGGCGGCCGCCCTCCATCACCGTCACACATATTTCCCTGTGCAAAAGGGGCGGGGCGACCGCTGCGACCGCACCGCGGCGGCTGGCCCGGCCATGGCCCGGCCACCACACCCGGTCTTTGGCCAAAAAATTAAAAGTCATACACGAAATTTCTGCAAAAAACAACGAGGTCCGCTCCCATCCTGGCGCGCTTTTGCTAAATATACCCTCGTGCTTTTTCATCGTGTCCGGAAGCATGTTCCACGTGTTTTTATCAGGTGCGCTGTGTTTGTGCGGACGGGAAAATGACTGCCGGGTACTTTCGCTCCGATTCAGAGGCGAACCAGGAGGTACCTCAGGCGGCCGCCCAAGTTATAAAGAAAACTCCATCGGTCAAGTACCGAGCCCGTTCTGACCTTTCCCTCTCCTTGGTGGCGCGAAAGGGCTGGAGTGAATCGGAATTCGGAACCGGCCGCGTGTTCCCAATGAGTGTCGATTCCACGTCGCCTCGCCTCGCCTCGCCGCGGTCGGAAGCTACTTCCGCTTCCCGTCCGCGCTTTTTTTTTTTTTTTTTTTTTTGCCCGGCGTCCCTCACTGTGGCCAATTACAGGCAACGGCTGCCTTCAATTACTGCTTGCCTGGAGTCCACTTGACGGGGTGCTTCTCCTTCTCCGCCTCCTCGGCGAACTCGGAGACGGCGGCCATCTGGGCGCGGCGCCGCAGCCGCAGCGGCAAGGGCGGCAGATGCGGCATCTGCGTGGACAGGCGGCGGACGCCCTCGCCGAGCCGGTTGGCGGCCCTGGCGGCGGCATGCCCGGCCTGCCGCAAGGCCACTGCAAGGACAGTGTAGCCACTACACTAGTTCCCCGCGATCCGCCGCGTGGAAAGGGTTGCCAACGCAGGGCCAGAGGACCGGTGGAGGCGGCCGAAACCTTAGACGCGTTTTGAGCTCCAGAGTCGCTAAACAGGACTCGAACCGAACGAGTGACCCCACCAAATGGATTCCTCGTTCGGAGAGCAATCCATTGGTGGGGTCACACGTTCGGTTCGAGTCCCATTTAGCGACTCTGGAGCTCAAAACGCGTCCGGGATTTCGACCGCCTCCACCGGTCTTCTGGCCCACTGCCCGCCCAGAAGGGAGGCCTTCCGACACGACTGCATCCGCGGCAAACTTCGGCGCGCCAACGCCGAGGAGGAAATCGTTTTTCGTTTTGACACCGGTCCGAGCCTTCCGACCGACGGGCTGAGGCCCAGTCATTCCGGCCCGCTGGCGTCGCGTCGCGCTCGTCGCGTTACCTCCCAGCCGCTGCCGGCGAGTCTCCACGGCGTCCACGGCGTCCACGGGGCCGGACGCCGGGGCCGGGCAGTCCGCCGGCTCGCTCGGCCCCGCCCGCGCCAGCACGAAGAACACCAGGCCGCCCCCAGCCAGCGCCAGCCCCACCGCCAGCCACATCTCCGGCCTGTTGAATGGACGGAGGAAGCGGGAGAAAAAAGGCCCTCGGTTGGGTCGCGGGTTCGAATACCAGTCTTCCATTTCGTTTTTCCCTGCTTTTGTTGGAACTGCAAGGGCGAAAAGGGCCCTTGCTTCCAACCGCAGTAATTGCGGTACCGGGTTTGAAACAGGATTTGCCGTCCTCTCCCCCTCCTCGTCCTCGCCGCACTTGTGACGCACTTGAAGGGCAGGATGAGTGTCTGCCAGCTGTTGTCCGTGGTGCCCTCCGGGGTGAGGAAGGTGAGGCACTCGGAGTGGTACGGCACGGACAGGTCCAGCAGCTGGAGGTGAAACGGGGTGTAGTGCAGGTCGCCCAGCACCAGCTCGGCCCGGCCGGAGATCACCTGCAGGCAAAACAAGGCTGATAAGGTGCCGTGCTTGGCCTGCCGGGCCTGCTTGTAGGCAAACAGGATCAAAGCGAGCGAGCGTGCGGGAGGGGGCGGGGCCGAGGCGGGGTAATGCCTGCAGCCCGGGGCAAGGAAGGCACGCTGAAGGCACGGCACTGAGCAAACATTTCAAATTCGACTTTGACTCGTACACTGCCAGCTGCGGGTGCGGTTTCGTGCACAAAGCGATTTATTTTTGCCCGCTTGCTTTCCGCTGCCGGCGCTGGGGTTGACTGTACCTCGCCCAGGAGGCCCGACAGCGAGCCGTCCAGCTGCCGCCGGCCCCACTGCTCCTTGTCGGCGTTCGGCGGCTCGTACAGGCGCGGCAAGAAGTTCATGGCACGCGCCAGGGCCTGCATCACCTGCGGAGCATCAACATCCTGTTGCCAACTCGCGGGACAACTTCGCTCCTCGAGTTGTGCAAGTTTATTTCCCCAATCCGCCCCAACTCGTAAGAGCAGACAGTCGGACCCACAAAGCAAAACGGACCACTCCGAGGCCGTCTCTGTCCACCGCTCGGAAAGCCAGTCATCATCCCGCGGCGGCCGGAACAGCCAGTCGCTTTCTGGAAGGCAGTGACGGGCACTACGTCTCGGTCCAAGGGCCGCCCCGACCGCCCCCCGACCGCCCCCCGACCGCCCCCCGACCGCCCCCCGACCGCCCCCGAGCCAAGCACGCTCGTTGCATCGGGCTCCGGTGCGGCGGGTCCGTACGTCTGGCTGCGGCCGTGGCTGCGGCGGGCCGGGCGAGGGCTGTGGTGTTGTCAAAGGGGGCGAGGGAGACACCCGAAGGCACTCGTACTTAGGTAGCCAGCCACAGAGCCAGCAGTTTCCTTTTGCATCGCGTCTCTCTCAGTCTCCCCCTCCCTCCACGCCCCCGTTCCGCCAATCCCTGGCGAACCCCCCCTCCCTAAACCTCGGCGCCAGAAAGACTCAGTGACCTGCACTTCGAGGCCACTGAATCCGGACGTGCTCTCGCCGTACTGGCCCGTCACGTGGCGCGACGTGGTCTTGTAGGAGGCGGGCACGTGCTGGAACGTCACCACGGCCAGCGTCTCGTTCTGCAGGTCCGACGTCTTGTCCCTGAAACGCCAATCAACCTTCCATTTTTGCCATTTTTTCAATAAAGCGATTTTGCTACAATTTTTTTTTCTGAAATTTTAAAAAAAATTGTACAATTTTTTGTTGTTCATTTGAAATTTTTAAACTGTTTTGGTACAACTTTTCGTTTGATTTTTTTTTTTGAAAATTTTTTTGTGCAAAGCCATGTTGTTTTTCTTGTAGTTATCTTTTCTTCCTCAATTTCTGACCTGAAGAGGTCCACGTTCTGCCGGAAGGCGCCCCGCCGCCAGATGTCCAGCCTGCGGGTGACCAGGACGCCGCGGATGGGCGCGGGGAAGGGAACGGTGGACAGCTCGAACCAGGAGGACCTCCTGCCTGCAAGCACACTGCACAGTGACGAGGCGGTCCAATTTCTTTTCCCGCTCTTACATTTTCCCTCGCCTCCCTCGCCGTCGCCCCGCCGCCTCGCCGCCGCCTATCTCGGTTTCTTCAATCCGGACACCACGACGCTTTTAAAATTGGCGGGACGGAGCGCCCTGCCGCCCTGCCGCCCTGCCGCGGCGCGCAATATTGGCGGCGGGATGGCTGGCAGGCGGCTCGGCGAGCAGCGTGGACGGTTTGGAGAATGAGCAACAGGGCGGCGCGGCGGCGGCACCTCCACCGTTTCGCGCCCACTCGGCGACACGATGAAGGGGGAGGGGGGGCGACTTTGGACTGAATTCTTCAGGGCGTCGCCGATTGCCGATGCAAGATTAACGAGAGACGAGAGGCCTTTAAAGCAAAGCGCGTCGCATGCGCACGCAACGCGCCCCGACCTCCGCCGCGGCCGCCGCGCAACACACACGGAAAGACAAACAAAACAAAGGCAATCCAATTCGATTTTATTTATTCACCCGTCGCGGTTTACTCGACTGTCACCGCAACGCGCGCGGCATTGGAATCCCCCCGGCAATAGAAATATCTGCCTGAAAATAACGTGGACCGGGGTCAGGCAATCTACGAAGAAGTGATTTTCTTTTTGACACTATTTTGAACGGTGCACAGTCCGCACTAGTGTTGACGGCAAATGTGTGCGGGGGACAGCGACCCTGCTAGGGCGGTTGCTCCGCTTGCTTTCCCGTCTTCTGCTAGAGGGGGGGGGGCACTGCAACGTGCAACGCCTTAAACTTCGAGCAGGCCGTAAGCATTCCTCATCCGGGAGAAATGTTTAACGTGGCAAGTGTTTGGTTTGGTGCAAACCGCCTAACCTGTGTATCTTGTTCCTAAGCCACCCACCCTTTATCCGCCCCCGCCCCCCTTTCAACTGCCCCCGGCCCCGCTCGGAGCTGTGCCCCTCCCTCCACTGTTTAGGGTCCGTCTTTTAGGCCAACCCTCCTTACTTAGTGACCAGCCTCGCCCAGGTACCTTCCCCAGTACCTACCTTGTGTGCTGAGAGCGCAATCAAATAGCCCACCACCCTGCGCCCCCCCCCCTCCCCTTTCTCTCTCTCTCTCTCTCTCTCTCTCTCTCTCTCTCTCTCTCTCTCTCTCTCTCTCTCTCTCTCACACACACACACACACACACACACAGACAGTAAATTTGTTTCTCGGTTTATGAACTGACCCTCCAGCGTCTCGCTAAGCTTTCTGGAAACACCCTCTGCGAGGGGAGGGGGGGAGGGGGTCCCCAGGGCCGGGCCACACATTACTTCATCATGGAGGGTGAGGGGGTCCGTGTCGACATAAAGGCCGGCTTCCCTGGACGATGGCAAGATGAGATCGGAAAACTCTGTCGAGGAGCAGGACGCGCGTGTCCTTGATTGGAGACTCCCCCGTATTTATTTAATATTTTTACTTCATATTTATTTATTTATTCCTAAAAAATAAGCTTTTTGAGAGGCGGCAGCCAGCTCGAGGACGGATTTGTCTCATTAATCTAGTCTACGGAAACGGAAAAAAGGGAGGGGGAGGGGCTTAGCAACGAAGCGTGTCGTTGGATTGGCAAATACAAATTAAAATTTCCAGTTGGTTTTTGTTCCGATGTTGTTGTTTTTTTCGCTCACCGGCCAGGCTCGCCGCGGCCCAGGGTCCCCCGAAGCGGCGCACGAAGACCACGTTGACGATCTTCTTCCACAAGTAGTGCAGGTCCGGGCTGAGCAGCCTGTGGTCGTACAGCAGCACGAACTTGGCGCGGGTGTCCAGGACGCGGTTCCTGGACAAAAACGGCTGCCGGAGGAACAGGGGAAAAAGTACACGCTTTTTCTCGGTATTCGAACTCGGGCGTGCCGGTGAAGTTTCGCCAAGAGCAGCTTTATAAAAGAAAAAAAACACGACCACGCGCAAAAGGGTCAAAAGCCTGAAAACGACCTGGAACGAGATGAAACAAAGTAATCTATCCCAAGTACAACGCTTAATACGTTCTCTGGAAACGTCCGGCCCGGCGGGCCGGGTGACATTGCGACAAAAGCGGGCGACGCGGGTTCAAATACTCGCTCCGCGGCCTTTTCAGTTTCCATCCGGCCTCGGCGTCCCGCGTTCATTACTCCGCCGGCCGCGATTCCAATTCCGGATTCCTCTCCAGCTGCTTCCAGCTGCTTCCAGTGGCGTGGCCCCTGGGGCTGCCGCCACGCTGCCACCCTTCGCTGCCTCTGCGCGTCGCGTCGTCACCAGAGGTCTCGCCGGTCGGAAACGGGGCAGCGGGGTTCTGCTGCGACGCGACGCGACGGACGGACAGCCTTGCCGGCCGCCGTCAAAGAAAATGCAGTAAGGCCCGCGGCCAATTTCAAACGTCCCGAGATTCTGCAGTGCGCTGCACGACGCACAGTGCGACTCTGTGGGGTCTCCTTCTTGCAGGGAGACTCACGAGTCGCCGAAGCGGAGCAGCCTGGCCAACTGGATGCCGTTGGCCAGCAGCAGGAAGTAGGCGCGGCAGCCCTCCTTGCGCACCTGCCGGATCACCTTGAGGGTGCGGTAGTTGGGGGAGAGCAGGTCCTCGTTGTCGCGCACCAGCACCTGCAGCAGTGTAGCGACGTGAAGCACCACCCCGGTGCGTCGTGGGGATCTTTGCCTCCTCGGCCGGAGCGCCTGCAGTCTCCAGGATAGGCCGACCCGCGAGGCAGCCGTGGCGTGCATTGCCTGCCGCGCAGGCGCTCCCGCCGCCGAGAACGTCTCGAGCCCTCGTCCTTCGGCTGCGCCATGGCTGCGCGATGTCTATCGGAGTAAAGTTTTCGCCTCGCCGGCCTGGCGGGGCTGGCGGGGCTGGCGGGGCTGGCAGCCGACACCCATTAAAGCGAGACGGTGACAACAGGCGGCGCTGGCTGGGCCTGGCCGGGCCCGCGCGCCTCCATGGAGGCTGCCAGGAAATTGAAGTGCCGCTCGGCGAGATGACTTGGAATCGCCGCCGCCGCGGAGACCGCCGCGACGCCGACGTCGTCGTTCATTATTAGGAGGCTGCTGCTCGTGTGCCACCGTCTCCAAATTGACTTTTTACCGAACGCGCTTTCCAATTTTTTTTAGAAATAAAACGAACCGGCTTGCAGTGGGCCAGAAGACCGGTGGAGGCGGCCAAAAATCTAGACGCGGTTTGAGCTCCAGAGTCGCTAAACAGGACTCAAACCGAACGTGTGACCCCACCAATGGATTCCCCGTTCGGAGAGCAGTCCGTTGGTGGGGTCACACGTTCGGTTCGAGTCCCATTTTGTGACTCTGGAGCTCAAAACGCGTCTAAAGTTTTGGCCGCCTCCACCGGTCTTCTGGCAAATCCACTGTGCGGCTGACCTTGAACACGGGCGTGAGGCCCAGGCGCTTGTAGAAGGCCTTGCCGAACACGACCTGGTGCATGCGGTCCCCGATGAGCGCCAGGCAGTTGAGGTCCTCGTCGACGCGCGGCAGCATGGCGCGCATCAACGCCGCCAACTCCGTGTCCCCCGAGGACTCGGTGGCGCGGGCCAGCAGCGCCACGCGGCCCGTCCTGCAACGAAGTGTCTTTCTCTCGCAAAGATACTGGATCAGTTGCAAACCGACGACATTGTCCTGACGCAAGCAGGAACCACGCCAGAATAAATAAAAGCGACGAAGTTCGTCCTTTTTTTGAAAGCGAGTGTTGAGAGGAGTGCCCAAGAAAGCGTGAGTTGTGCAGGTCAGCGGGTCTGCAAGGCGCAATGACTCGCTTACGTGAAGAGCGGTGCAAGACGGGGAGGGTTGCCGGACATCCGCGTGTCGTTCCTGGTACGAGTGGAGTAGCCTTCATCCCTTTATACTTCATGACGCGCGCAAACACACACACGCACACACACACACACACACACACACTCAAGCGTATGCAAACCAGAGTGCGAGGCCTTGGAGAAGTAATCCGCCGAGGGGTGCCTGGCCTGGTGGCCTGTGCCGGCCGAGTCCACTTCCAACCAGTCTTACGGCGTCACGACAGCTTTACTGCCAAATTAACGCTCGCTCCCTAAGTGCCTGTCATGCCTCGCGCACCCAGTAGGCCAACACTCTCACGATGCACTAGAAGCCTGGCCAACCAGAGGAAATCTGGGATCTGCTCTGCTTCAGAAGGTGTCCTCTGGGTATGCTAAGGTTGGCACCGTGGGGGTTTTGGCCTTCTTAGGTGCCAGCACTGCTCACATCTCTCGCTGTCCCTCCAGTGCCCGCTCCTCCAGGGCCTGCTCCACGTCGCCGGCCGGCTGGAGCGCGCCGACGGGCGTGCAGGCCGCCCGCGTGGCCAGGGCGGCCAGGGCGGCCAGGGTGGCCAGGCAGGTGGCGACGAAGGCGACGGTGGTGCCCCGCCGCGGCATGGCCTCACACTAACCCAACCCAGCCGGTCCGGCCGGTCCTACAATGGGCAGCGGGCAGCGTGGTGGCCCCATTGGTTGGCCAGGGTGTCCTGCGCGTCCTGCGGGGCGCGCTCACCGTGGCCTATAGGGCTGTGCAGGGCTGTGACGGGCTGGGCCGAGCTGGGCCGAGCTGTGCCGGGCCGACGCGAGGGTGAGCATGTGAGGCTAACTTGTACACGCATGCCTCAATGGCCGCGGGGGCGGATGGGGGCGGATGGGGGCGGGCCCTGCGGCCTGCTTCCCAACCCAGCGTCGCTCTGTCTCTCTCGCTCTCGCGGGACTTGCTGGAGGGGTGCGAGAGACACGCCACGATTCCCTTCGCCATCGTCCGCCTGATTAGCGTCCGGAGTGATTCCACGCCATTGTTAATGTCAGCAGTGACAACAGGCGGCTAGTTTCAACAATAACAACAACAACACTAGCAACGGCGAGTTCGTGTTCTCTCCCCCTCTCACTCTGCGCCGCCGCCGCGCCGCCGCGGCGTGTGTTTGGTAAGCCCCATGCAAATGCCGTCCTCATGGAGGGAGGCGTCACCGCCACCAGAGTATGATTCAGAGAGTGAGAACAAACAACAATAAGTGCTGCTTTTCGCCTCAACTCTTGTTGTTGTTGTTGCCTTACAAGCCGCGAGCACCGCGTGTGACTGGACAGGGCGCAGGGCTGCGCAGGGCTGCGCGAAGGCACTGACCCGTCAACGAGGGGGAGGGTGGGGGATGGACCGAGAAAGTAAGCGTCTCTATTTGTGTGTGTCCGTGTGTGTGTGACTCGGTGTGTGAGCAGTTGCTTGAGGTTGTGAGAAGTGTGTGTGTGTGTGTGTGTGTGTGTGTGTGTGTGTGTGTGTGTGTGTGTGTGTGTGTGTGTGTGTGTGTGTACACGCGTGTGCGCCTGTGGGAGAAGGAGGAGAGTATAGAGGGAGGTTCTCGTGCAGAAATGCGACCAGTCCGTTCGTGTTCGACACTGCAGGGGGGGGGGGGGGGAGGGGGCGACACGACACGATACATTCGTAAAGAAGACCGAACGCTCCAAAAAACACGGAAAGGAACCTCAGTTTGGAAGCAGCAAAGCAAGCCTCTGGGAGATCGTGAAAAATTGGCATGAATTTGCCTAGTGTGTGGGTAAGCGTTCAAATTTGGTCGGCTGTTCCAAATGGGGGTGCCGGCGGGGCCGCATGCGCTGCCCTGCGACTATACAACTGAGAGGACGTAGGGCTCGGCGTTGTGAGTAGATTCCCGCTCTCTCTCTCTCTCTCTCTCTCTCTCTCTCTCTCTCTCTCTCTCTCTCTCTCTCTCTCTCTCTCTCTCTCTCTCTCTCCCTCTCTCTTTCTCTCTTTGTAAGGGGACATAGGCCTCCTCCCCCAGGGTGGGCCGAGGCCGGCAATGGAGATCTCAAAGGGGTTGCCTGTTGCCTGGGGAGCGGCCGGGACGGGCTGGGACGGCCGAGGGCCGAAGGACGTTGGGAAGCGGGTCGCCGCCGCCGCCGCCGCCGCCGCCGATCGCAGCCGGGATCCGGTTGCAGAGCTCCGGCCTCTTTTGGCCTTCCGGCCGAGTCGGTGGTTTGTGGTGCGTCGTGCCTCGTCCAAGCAATCCAAGCCGCGTGCAAAGCGGCACACGCTTTCTCTCACGTTCCGTCAACGCGGCCATAGAAAGAATAAAAACAGGGGGGAAAAAACGAGTGAACGAACACGTCGCAGTGACGTGGTGAGACCGTTCCGCTGACGCTGGCCAGTCGGGAACCTTTTGTTGTCTCTTGGAAAGGCAGACCTGTTGTTGACACGGCGACACGCGCCAGCGCGCGCCAGCGCGCGCCAGCGACACAGTGTTGCCATAAAAATAGCCAAAACTTCCCGCGAAGCACTAACGTTGGAAGGGATGCCAACCTCAGCGCGCGCACTGGGCAATATGTCTTTGCTCTCTGGAAGTTGCCCAGTGGGCAGGCTGAGGTCGGCAGCCCTCGCGACACGGGTCCATCGAGGGGGGTACTACACTGCTTTGAAAGGCCCCAATCACCCGTGCCGTTGCAGCAGTTCGTCGGATCGGCCTGTTGGTACCACTGGATGAAAGAGTGGGGCGTAAGCCAGTGGCCGCAACACCCGGAGACTGATTGATCGAGCAGCCTGCCTGTGGCCTGGGCTGGGCATCGCATTGAGCCCCACACTGCAATCTTCCCAAGGCCTGCCAGGGCGCCAGGCTCCCGACGCCTCGCCTTGGAACACTGGCCACTGCCCGTCGCCTGCATTCCGAATGCATCCGTGCTCAACTTATCATCCGGCCTCAACGTCTGCGGCTCACTTCACCCTCCTTTGTGCCGGGCCGTGGTGCGTGCTGCGTCTAGGGGTGCACTCTGCGCCGAGAGAGGCGGCTTTGGCACCGGACTCCCCCCCCCCCCCCTTCTCACACACGCACACAGACCTAAATCCCCGATCCCCAGCCGGCCCCCAATCACCTTCAACCTCGAAGGCCTCGAAACCTCAAACTCCACTTCTTCTTTCGCGGAGTCGGAACCCCGGGAATCGGGAATCGGGCCACCGCCGCCACCGGGCCGCGGGGGCGTCGTCGCTCCACGTTCCACGCATCCCCGGACCCCCCTTAGGGCCCCGCGCCCCGCGCCCCGCGCCTCCCCCTTCCCCGGTCTTCCCTTGGGGCGTTCGCTCGGCCCGGCCCGGCCTGCGTCAACTCCCCCCCCCCTCCCCTCTTCCCGCCGTATCGGTCTCGAGGAGCCATCAGCACTCGGTTGATGTATTGCGGTGTGCTAACCCTTTGCCCCCCCCCCCCCCCTCGTCTACCTCGTCGTGCAAAGAGACCGCGCGTTCAAACTAGCCCTCCAGCCCCGCGCTCTGCGGCTCCGCGCTCTTCGTGTGTCGCTGCGTCGCCTCGCGGTTCAATTGCCGTGGGCCTGATTGCGGGTCGTTCCGAACCGAGTCGTCTCGTCGCTCTGTCTCTCTCGCACCCGTACGGGACGCCCGAGGAGTGCGAGGGAGACAGCCCTTGCCGGTCCTGCGCACATGCCCCTCCCTCTCCCACGCGGTCGACTCTGCGTCTCCTTGAGCCGCCCGAGTCACGCTCCTTTGCGACGCTCAGCAGATTTTCGGTGAATTTTCAACTGACCCTCCTAAAGCTGACTTCCAGCCAGTCCCCTTCAGCCGGTCCACTTGCTGTTGATGTTTTCGCGTTGTACGAGAGGCCCATGTGCTCCACGCCGCCGAGAGTGTGGCCCTCGTCCCAAGTTGGACGAAAATCCCGAGTGCGTGCATGACTTCCTGACTTTCTCTCGTCGGGCCGTACTTGCCACTGGCATTTGAGTGCCTCGTGCACTGCCTGGCCGTGCCTTCCCTTTCCCCGCCCAGCCTGCACTGCCCAGCCCGCGTCCACTCCCTTTGTCTCCATGCGTCATTTCCGCCCTTGTTCACTCAGAATGGCAAACGCGCAACGCGCATGGGAGCGGAGTGGAGCGGAGAACCCACTGCCACGCCACTGGCTACGCAGCGTCTGGCCACGAAGTAGTAGCCACACTAAAAACGCACATGGCCTTGCCTTTTTTTTTCTTTTCACCAAAAATGGTCGACCATCTTGACTTTGTCTGAGATTCATGTGGAACAAAGCTGTGTGTGTAGAAAATATTTTTCATGTAATCTCTGGTCTCTAAAGAAAATTTATTTGGTGTAAAAATTTTGGTTCTTAAAATGTAAACAAGGAACAGTCAATCAAAAACAAAATTCACATAAAATTTTTTTATTAATATAATTTAAACTATATCATAACATTAAATTGCAATAACAACTTCACTTAAGCAATATTTCATGCCACATCAATTTTAAATAAACTATGATTTACAGTTAATGGGGAGGGACTAACTAACCAAACCAGTCTGTGCTCATGGCACCAAAGAAGGCCGCAGCCCCAGACTTGATATTTTCCATAGGTTCCGCTTTCTTCTTTGGACTGCGCGTTTGACCTTGTTTAGGCTGGAAAATAAACATCAATAAACAACAAAGCATGATAAGAAAAAATAGGCATGTTGCTGATGCTGTTCTACCTGTGGTTTTTCCTGTGGAGCTGGCTGCTGCATAGGACCAGGCATTGTGCTGGACGAATTGGGCAGAACTACAGGCAGCAGTGGAAACCATGGGGCAGCAGGGCAAACAGCGAGTAAGCTGGGCTGTTCGGAGCTCTTGTCGGAGCCACTGGAAGTAGTCCACATACTGGCTAGTTTTTCAGGCCAGCATGTGATAAGAACTCCCAGCAAACACTATGAAATAGGAATGAAACATGAAACTCTCATTGCAACCATTCCAGTAACAAGGTTTTGAATGAAGAGTTAAATTACCTGCATGTGGCGCACACTTTGTCGTACATTCTTCTGAATATAGGGAGTGAACACGTCCAAATCAAATGGATCTATTTTTTCCTCAAGTGCTTGACAAATTTGCTGAGCTTGTTGAGAAAGTGCCTTTTGGCTTCTTGGTATGAGTGCAGCTGATAGGAACATAACATCAAGGAGGAACTGAAGTGCTTGTGCCTGAGGCAGATCCATTTTCACTGCACTACTGTACTGTTCTAAAATGTTTAAAACAAGCTTTTCCACAAATCCAATTTTAGCTTTGCTGAAAAATTGTGAAATTTAGTTACAAGTGGTTTCTTTATAACATACATGGTTGAAAGTTGTATGTATAGACAATAAATCACACACAAGAGTACCTTGCAATGGTATGGGGTTGAGCAGCTCCTAGTACCTGGCAAGCATGAGACAAGGTATCTTGGAGCACAAGGCTTGGCTGGGCAGGAACTCTAATGACAGAATGCAGCCTGCCACCTTCTTCTCCTTGCTCCTCCATACTGTGTTCTTCCCATTGCTAAAACAATTTTTTGACATAATATTTTGCGAATTGAACCAAAACAAGAGCATAATTTATTAAGAAAAACTACTTACAGGGGTAGAGTGTGATAGTATAACAGAAAGATTCCCTGAATCTGGGATAAGCATTTCTTGAAAAGTGCCTGCCAAATTAGATGACACAAGTTCTTGCCATGCATCCCAGGCATGCCTGCTACATTCTTGCAGCACACTCACCATGTCAGTCCAAGCAGCAGACGAACCGAGTAAATTCTAGTAATCATTAAAAATCGCATAGATTTAACTTTTTAAACGCAATTTTTAAATTTTTATTTACTGTCAGTTTAAAAATTTATTAGCTACCTACTTTGGATGATGAGATAACAGCAAAAGGAAGGAAACATGATTTGAGGGCCGGACTCAAATCACAAAGGGCTCCTAAGAGACGAGCCACAAGAGCAATGCATGCCTCATCGCGGCCAGTGGCTCCAGTTAAACAGTTGTCCTTAATATGCTGACAAAACCTAAACCACACAGAAAACAAAACCTTAAGAACAAGGAATTTTAAAAAGGGCACCTTGATCCAATGGCTTTTTACCCTTGTAGATGGTTGGAGCTGCACTGCTGGAAATACTTCTGAATTTCATTCCGATCATGATCGGAGTCTTGAACATATGAAGCAAGTTCTTGCAATAAAACAGCTAGTGGACCATCCAGGGATTGGCACAAAGCTTCCACCCTTGGAGTGTAACCCTGACACTTCAAAATAAGACCTTTAAAGGATGCAAAACAAAACCTATTAATTTTATCTAAATTTAGAAACTAAACTTATCAGCTGTGCTTTACTATATTGATCACTCTTACCATGAGAGGGCAAGAGGGCCTTTGTCGGCACTGGTTTCTGAGGAAGATCTGTGGATTGTTCCCTCCAAACAAACCACCGCAGATCGTGTTCAGGTTGATGAGTCCTTATCAGAGAAATAAATATTTAGAGTATTGTGAAGAATACAAGATACCAATTGTTATAATTGTTAGAGAAAACATACTTGTCTCTTAAAATTGCTCTTAGCTGGTCCGCAAGCTTTTGTCGAGTTGTGGCAAGAGCCGTAGTCCACTGCTGTTCTACAAGAACCCTAAGTCTACAGCTCAGAAGTGGTTGGTAATAGACATTCCAAATATCTGAGCCACATGGCAGCTGAAGCTTTTGTAAGGCTATATCCCAGCCACTAAGCCCTAAAATACAAAGAATAATTCAATATACACAAAACAAGAAATTAAAATCAAAGTAAATGCCACAAGGAACACTCTGGAGAGAGTAAAATTATTTACCCTGCTGTTCTTTTATTGAGATGTCTCTGACACCTTGAAGAGCCCGAATTGATGTCACAAGGTCAAGTAAAGAGTTTACAGTATCTTTTAAAAAGGCATTGAGTGACTGCAACCACTTTGATGTGTGTGCTCGAACTTGATCCAACGATACACTCTCTTTGCAAGATGTATTAGCAGGCCTAAAAGTAAAAAAAATCCCAAAGATATGATGGTTGAAGCTTCATAATGCAGGAATAGAAAAATTTACCGCATTTTCTTGTGATTTAAGATTACACACAAGATATAATTTTACAAACCTGAAATCTCGCACAACAGGAGGGAGTAGGCGAAGAGATGTTGGTTCTAGACCCAAAGTATCCAATATTTCAAGCAAACTGAGGCAGGTGCTACTGCCATGACTATTCAACACAGAAGTTTCTTCCTGTGTGAGAGCATTAAGGTGCTGCCAGAGGAGACCTTCTTGTTGTCCTCCTCTTCCCTCTGAAATCGTGCACACAATTATATTTAATGGGTCACTACTAATCAGTCACAAGAGTTTCTACTTGGCAGCAAGAATTTGGTCTCATCGAAGGTAATTCAACTACTTACCAACAAAACAGGAATGCAGCAATGATAGTGTGTTAAGGAGTAAGTGCAAGCTTGCAGAAATACGATGTTTAACATTTGCTTTGTCGTCTCCTAATAGAAGAACAGAACTTAGAGCAGTCTGTCGTACTTGGAGAAAACGATCAAGAAGATTTTCTCCATTCATATTCTGAAGGAGAGCCAACACACAAAGATATCTTGCAGCATACTGTTCAAGAAAGAAAATGGGATCAAAATATTAAATAAGGCATTAATTTTTTTAGAAAAGAAAAAACATGGCAGAAAATAAAATATGCAGAAAAACAAGACACAAAACAACAAGACAACAAACCAGGGGTTTTATGTCGGGGGATCCAAGAGCTGCCAGAGCTCCATTAACCAACTTTTCTTGGAAATGGGAAATTGCAGCCCATTGACGCGTCACTACAGGCATCATTTCCTCAAGAAGAGAAGAGCTTTCAAGGCGAAACCCTACAATTAAATTAAGTTGCTGAACATATTTTTGTTTTCATGGTTGCTGTCCATGTGGTCCAGAAACTATACATTACATAAATTAAAACAATAACTTACCAGTTTTAATATGCCTCGCCAAAAGGAAAAGTTGTGTTCCTAAGAGGTAGTCCTCTCTTTCAACTGCAACCCAGATCTGTTCTGGGACAGCCACTAAAATTTTAACTTGAATTGCTAGACCAAGTCCAGTGCTGTCATGTCTGTAATGTAAGAGAAACACACAGTCTAAATTTATATTCATTGTTTCACTTGATGTTCGAGGAGAAAATAGGTAGTACTTATTCAGTGTTGTGTTCGATACTTTGGACAGATCTAGTTGAAAGCCTAAAAGTTGCCTCTGTTGGAAGGCTCCACACATTGACTCCATGTTTTGAATACGAGTTATGACTCCTGCAGCTGTATGTTGCATGTCACTGATGGTGTCAGCAGCTTCGATTAAATCCCTGTAACGCTCCCTGAAAGTAAATCCACAATTAAATAATAACATTTCAGACGAGAAACATGAACTTGAGCAGACACCTGAGATGCGATGCAATATTATTTCCAATAAACAACCATTCCATTCATTGGCTGGTTTATGTATAGACTAATATTTGGTTTTGAAAAGGTTAACCTACCCAACCATGGTTCTGAGTTCCTCCTTCTTCCTTTCAATTTCATCTTGGATTTTCTTTTGAATGACCTCTATCTCAATGATTGATTTTTCCTCGAAGATTTTGTCTGGATCGACGTCTAACATATTTGGTGGCAACATTGCTGTTTCTAATCGGAGAGCACCGACTTGACATGTCACAAGCCAGACCAAAACAAACCACCCTCACTGAAAATAATGCCTTTTGAATGTTTGCAGACGACCGACCGACGTGTAAATAAAGAGAATCGAGCAACCCTTGTCAGCCTAAAGTAAAATGGCGACTGGAAAAGCAGCCTCAGTTGTTACACGCCAAGTTCGTCCGATTTTATCTCTTTCTCACAATGAAGCTCGGATGAGAGCCCTTGCTTTGTACAAAGCTTGGTATCGCCAAATCCCCCACACAGGTGAGTGTTGCTGTAAGGCTACAAGCAGAGAAATGGTTTTTCATAACCTAGACTTGTCCTATCTGCTCCTTGGACATCAGCTGTGATTTCTGGAAAAATAGTAATACGGGACTGGTTAAGAAGAACTGCACTTCTACATGTGAGGTTTCACCCATTTAATGAGCGGTCTGATAAAAAATTGGCTGACAAAGTATGTTAATATTGTAGTGGCAAATTCCTTTGATGTGGTATTGGCCAGTGCCGAACTTGTTCTGATGTCAAGCATATTTTACACTTTTCTCACTGCCAGCTTGTTATCTACTCAAATAGTTTGTGGAAAGTTACAGGAGGAAACAAGCTAATAGTACTGAGCTGGTTGTCATTTTCCACTATCCAGCCGGAGAAGCCCTTTGAGCTTATCAGATTTTGATGTTACTCACATTGTCATGTATTTTCTTGTTTCCAGTGAACGAGAATGATTTTCCTAAGAGTGTGAAACAATGTCGTCAAAAGCTGAGGGAAGAATTCATGAAGCACAAGGATGTGAAGGATGTTCGAGTGATTGATATGCTAATTATTAAAGTAAGTGGGCTTTTGCCGTCATTGACTGGTAGAGGAATAGAAGACCTTTCACAGACTGATGGTGTATGATTCTTTATTTTCAGGGTCAAATGGAGCTCCAGGAAACAGCTACCAAATGGAAACAATCTATGCATATTATGGCGTATTGGAAAGATACAGTCAACAAGAAGCCAACCGATTTTTACTCAAAATTTTTAGAAGGGAAAGATTAGATGCCAACTGGCAATTTTATGGTGAAGCATTAATTTGATGTGAATAAAGAAAATGCAACATGAAGTTTTCATCTTCTGTAGTTGGTGTATTATGCATTAATATGCATTGCAATAATAAATGTACATATTTGAATAATTAGCTTTGTGTATTGATCCTCTGAACAAAAATGCGTTGGTACAAGGGAGAATAAAGGACTTCTTCAGTGTAACATTATTGGTTTATCATAATCAAACTTGTAAAATAAAAAATTACAAAATAAAATGGAACCTTAATGAATGCTTAACATTAGGCACCCGAGTTTAATATTCTCCTGTTCCACAAGGAGCTTAATATCACAGTATTTCTCAGGACACTGGTGCATAATATTCTAGTCTTTGAAACTAAACTTTACTCAGGTACATTGATTACAAAAAAATCAACTAAATACTGTTATCACTTAAAACAACTAAACTAGATTAGGTAGAAATGTATACAAACAAAATTCTCATATCGGTCCTAGTTTACATTCATCAAAATGGTTGTCCCAATTGGCTTTCTGGAAAAGAGGAAACAATTCATCAAAATTTAAAATGCAGTAATTTTAAGGAAGAAAACAAAAAAACAAAACAAAAAGGACTTACAGCACAATCAAAACTGCAGTAGAAGGCTCCCACACACTCGCAGGCAAACTTACTAGGCTTCCCACAGGTACACTTGTTTGTCGCATCAATTTCAACAAGGACATCAAGTTCACAGTCAGGATTATTCATAGCTTCGGCCAGCTCAGGGGGAAGCTCATGATCCTTGTCTGGTTCCTTAGCTTTTACCGAAATGAACCGACTCAGCTGGCTCACATCAATCATTTCCTCTGCGTCTTCTGCATCTTCTGCGTCATTATCTGCTAGCTTGTCCATCAAGCTGCGTATGTCAGGTGTACGTGGTTCCAAATAGGAATCCTCCCAAGTGGAAGTTACATCATCCTCTCCTGAGTCGGGGCTCTCAATCAACTCACAAAAGGAGGAATCTGAGTCACTGTTGGAATTGAACTCCAAGACTGGTTGACTGCCAATGGACAGAGATGTCTCATTGACACAGCGAACTGAGCGGTCGTCATGCTCAAGTGGAGATTTCCTCCCATTAGAATTCATTTCTGCAGCTTCGGTTTCTGATGGACAAGTCTGGGTACTGTCAGCTTCCTCTGTAATGGCAGCAGAAATGTTTCCAGCTGAAGATGTTAATTCATCTGAACTTTGCTGTGAACATTCATTTTTGTCTGATGAGGCTGAAGGTAATGTTAATTGTCTGTCTGCCATAGCTGGGTGGTCATCAAACCCAGATTCACTCCAATCTATGCCATGGAGCAAATCTAGGTATTCTTGTTCTTGAGAATTCCTTTGTGGCATAGAAGGAGCACTAGTTACAGCAGAAGGAGCAGTCAAATCCAAAGGCTGTGAAGCATCATCAGAGGGATTCGGAAGTGAAGCAGCAAAGCTTTCAGATTGAGTAGGAGGGCTCTGAGGAGAGGGCAGAGGAACTGTATCTTCATCTTCTACAGCAGCAGCCTCTCTACAGTTGGAGTTTTCGGATGGAGCTGGTGATTGGGTCCGAGACTCGTCCTCCTCAGCATCATTTACTATCTGGTCAAGAGCGTCCCCAAGACCTTCCTCTGGAACTGTATCTTCGTCTTCTACAGCAGCAGCCTCTCTAGAGTTGAAGTTTTCAGATGGATCTGGTGATTGGGTCTGAGATTCATCCTCCTCCGCATTGTTCACTATCTGGTCAAGAGCGTCACCAAGACCGTCCTCTGGAACTGTATCATTGTTTTCTACAGCAGCAGCCTCCCTACAGTTAAAGTTTTCGGATGGAGCTGGTGATTGGGTCCGAGACTCGTCCTCCTCAGCATCATTCACTATCTGGTCAAGAGTATTGCCAAGACCTTCCTCTGGAACTGTATCTTCATCTTCTAGAGCAGCAGCCTCTCTATAGTTGAAGTTTCCAGATAGATCTGGTGATTGGGTCTGAGATTCATCCTCCTCCGCATCGTTCACTATCTGGTCAAGAGCGTCACCAAGACCGTCCTCTTCATTGCTACTTTCTTCACTGGTATTTCCATCATCTGCTGCATTGCTTTCTTTATTGTTATTTTCATGACTTTTTCCATCGTCTTTAACTTTGCTCTCTTCTCTCTTCTCTTTATCACTGTCAATTTCATGGCTTCTCCCATCATCTTCAACACTGCTTTCTTCTCTATTCTCTTCATTAGCTTCTCTTTCATCTCTAAGACGGTGGTTATCTCCAATATTTTCTTCATGAACAGCCTCTTCATCACAAATGTCATTGACTCCATTTTTGCTGGCTTCCATTGCTTTACTAACAGATTCTTCATCATGATCTTCACCTTCTTCCAGATGCTGACCAGAGGGTCCTTCTGGAGATGCAGGTGGTGATAAATCAAGTGTTGATAGAAAGTCTTTCACTGCCTGACTTGCATCTGGAGCATCTTCCACTTCACTGTCATCAGATGCAGAGCTTTCTTCCTCCTCCACTGAGCATTGATGATCTTGAGTTTCTTCTGTATTAGATGCATCAGTGTCAATATTTTCCTGCATAGATGCAGGGTCCAGATTTGGTGATGTGGCATTATCAGACTCATCGGACTCAGAATCAGAGGTCTCATCACACAGATCAATTAATTTATCAACCACGTCATCTAGTGATTCACCTTCATCATCATCATTTCCTTCATCTCCATCTTCTCTTTCTTCATCATCTTTTTCCTCATCGTCATCTTTTTCTTCATCATCATCTCCATCCTCTTCATCTGCACCTCCTTCCTTATCTTTTTCTTCATCTGCATTCTTTTCATTATCTTTTTCTTTATCATCATTTGTACTGGAAGGTGCACAAGACTGCTTGTCCACAGTTGATGCTACATCATGTGGGGCAGTTAAGTGCAAAGATTGTTCCATCTGAAACAAAATGTACAAAAAAATCATGGAATAACAACAGGTATATAAACTGCAACCTCCTCCAAAAAAAAAAAAAAGAAATCTTGTTAAAATGAAATCTGACTTTCAGGCTAAAAATAATACATAATTTGCAAATAAGATAAAAAATAACTTACATCTGAATGGGAGGCACGAGCATCACAATTAGTCATGGCATTGTGTCGCTTTCCAATGGTGGTTTCATCAATCTGAAACAGAATTTGGAACATTACATTATTACAAAATCAACAAGTTGATCAAGAAGTACCACACTAATAGAAATGAATATTATGGCTGGCATACCCAATTTGGAGTGCAGAGGACATCGTCAATATCAAGATTTGACAGGAGAGGCAATGGTCCTTCCTCTTGCTGGAGCGCCCTCAACAATGGGGGTGTAGCTGGTTCAGGAGCAGCATGATGAGCCACAAGAGCAGCAGGTTGAGCTGCCAGCACTGGATCAGCGACTGGAGCTACACTAGGAGCTGTCGCCATCTGTTCACCAACAGGAGCAGTTGTTGGAGCTGCCTGCACCTGGTCAGCAACTGGAACTATACTTGGAGCTCCCACCACCATCTGGCTAGGAACAGGAGCAACCTGTTCAGGGATAGAAAAAATGCATTAAAATTTATTACATAAACAAATAACCAATTTATAGGAAAAAAAGCTAAATTTTTAGAATTTTTAGGAATAATAACTGTCAGGCATCAAAAAAAAGTAAATAAATAAATAAATGTCAAAGATTAATCCAGATAGGCAAACATTGAAAGACCGAGTTGCACACGATTGATGTTCAGTAATACCTGAAGTTGATTTTGGTGTGCAGCAAGAGGGATCAAGGGAACACTCTGTGGAGACTCTAAGTGGGACGCAGCCATGTTGACTAGGGCCTAAGAAACAGTAAGATGAAGATCACAATTTCGTTTGGAACATCTAAACCATAACACATCAAATGTCAAAATTAAACATTACCTGCACTGGATTTACTGTTAGTTGACGATTGAGCTCCTGGGTTGGTGCTGGTCCTGAGCCAAGTGCTCCACGCAGAATATTAGGGAGGTTTCTCGAATTTTGAGACTGTGTTGGTGTTTGCTGAGGAGGTACTGCTGTTGGCTGCTGGGTGGAAGCTGCTGGTCTAGAGGCATTAGGCGGCACTTGGAAGAGAGCATTAGAATCAGGTTGTTTCTGATGGAGAGGCTGAATCCCTTGCACATGGATTGGAGGCTGCTGGGTAGTGGACATCTGATATGGATGGACAGGCGGTGTCTGAACTGCATACTGCTGACGCTGCGTCAACTGTGGCTGTGCCGACACCATTTGGCTATTTTCAGGTACCAGATACGCAGCATGTAGAGCCTGGAGAGAACAATTACGCATTCAAATGAGAAGCAGTTACTTAAAATAATTGTAAACAGCACGAAAATTATTATTAAACACTGATGACAAGTTATACCTGATATGAAGGGGCGGTACGGTATAGAGCATTTGGCACATGCTGAGGAGGTTGCCCAGAGATTGGTACAGCCTGTACAGGAGAATAATGCAGCACAATCAATTTAAATGGAAATATAACATAAAAGCGAGAAACTGGGTATAAACATATTTCAATTAAATCTCTGAACAAATATATTAAGTGTGAATTAATACCGGAAGAGATTGATGAGTGGTGCTGCTGAGATAGGTTGAGTTGTTGCTCTGAGAATTTGCCATGACCTGTCAAAAAGAAATTGAAAGTCTAAAATTAATTTACACAGGACAAATGGAATGAAAGGGAAATGTAAAGCACTGAAGACGAACCATTGGAGCTGGTTGAGGCATTCCGAAGTTGGAAGACACTTGGCCCTAAGAACAATCAATGTAAATGTTAAAACCTTGTAAATTATAAAATTCAAACTAAAATCGATAGTTTGGTTGCTTACCTGTCCAAGTCCTGAGTTTGCTGCCTGCTGGCGAACGTGTCCTTGTGCCTGCCCAGCCTGGGCTGGCATTTGGGAGACTACAAAGTGCATAGTTTGAGATTGGCCAACTACTACAAATCTACGCGCTTGACTAGGGGCTGCTGTTGCCGGCTGGCTGCGAGCAGGGCCCGCATGTTGTGGAGGTCCTAGAACCGGCGTCGGATGCGCCCTCATCTGTGAAACTTGCTGCGGTCCTTGCTGCGGTCCTGGCCGCGGATAGGGTGCTGGTACCAGTGGCCTCTGCCGTCGTACTTGCGGTGGTGCTTGCTGTGGTGCTGCTGGCCGTGGTGCTGCTTGCTGTGGTGGTACTTGCTGAGGTGGTGCTTGCTGTGGTGGTACTTGCTGTCGTGGTACTTGCTGTACCCCCTGATGCTGTGGTTGCGGCAGCCACATCGGTAGCCCCTGCTGTAGCCCCTGCTGTAGCCCCTGCTGCAGCCCCTGCTGCAGCCCCTGCTGCAGCCCCTGAACTATCGTAGTCGTGGGAGGGAAAGAGATGCTGTTTGGCTGAGCGGATGATTGTTGGTGCACAGCTACAGTCTCTTGGACCGGCTGCGCGACAGGGCCACGGACAGCAGTGCTGGTCGCGCTGGCGCTGCTTGCAGCAAGCCTGGCTGCAGTGGTGCTGCCTCTGCCCGCCGAACTAGTCGAGCTGGTCGATCTTGTCGTCGCAGAGATGGCTTGGTTGGCTGTCGCAGCTGAGCTTGAAGTTGAAGCGCTCTCAGTCCTGGGCGGCGAGTCCCCGGCGGACCAGGAGTGAAGGCCCAGTGCCTTGGCGTTCTTCACTTTGATGAAGGTGCGCGGGGCTGGCGCTGGCTCTGGCACTGGGGCTGGCACCGGCACCTCGATCTTGGCCGACTCCTGAAGCAACTCCCCAAGAGCACTCTGCACATCCGAAACCGTAGGGATGCGGATCTGGTCGAGAGCGGCTGACACTGGCGACGTCACTGGCGTGGTCGCTGACACCGCCGGCGCTGCTGACACTGGCGTCGTCAGTGGCCCTGCCATCGCTGCTGACACCGGCGATGACACCGGCGACGTCGTCAACGCATAGGGTTCTGTCGACGCCGCCAGCCATTCCGCTGTGTAGACGATCTGGCCGTTGGCAACGCCGGTCGGGGTGAGCCTCACCACTGCGGCGGGCTGGGGTGCCGAAGGCTTGGTGGGTGTTAGCGGCGGGGCCGATCCAGAGGACAAGGCAGACGAAGGCCGCACTGTGGACGCCGACGACGGCGGCCGCACGGAGGGCGGACCGTTCTCGTCGATCACCAGGCGGTCGTCTTCGTCATCGGAGTCCGCCGAGGCGAGCGTGGCCGGCGTGGCCGGCATGCTCGGAACTTCCCTGGTGGTGGGCGTGGCCGGCGTACCCGGAGCTTCCCTGGTGGTGGGCGTGGCCGGCGTACTCGGAGCTTCCCTGGTGGTAGGCGTGGCCGGCGTACTCGGAGCTTCCCTGGTGGTAGGCGTGGCCGGCGTACTCGCAGCTTCCCTGGTCGTAGGGGTGGCCGGCGTTATCACAGCCTCCCTTGGCGTGTGCCGCGCTGGCGACTTGGACGGGGTCAGTGACGACGGCGAGGTGGAGGGCCTTCGCAAGGGCGGTGTCACCACTTCATGGATTCGTTCCCCCAGCCCCTCCGCAGCAAACGGAGGCGGCGACAGAGAGGGCATGGACAGATGCTCCACGTCCAGCGAGGCTGTCGTCGGCGTCTTGGAGGAAGGGCCCGTCGAAGTCTTTTGCACGGCGGCCGTCGTGGCGGAGGAAGCAGCCCTGGCAGCCTGCGGACTCAACTGCAGCCTGGGCAGCGACGGGCTTGAGGTTGGCGCGGGGCCCGCGGGGGGCGGCGTCACAGGCCGTGACTCCCGCGGCGCCGCGAAGATGGGCGTGGCCGCGTCATGGATAGACGGGGGCGAGGGCGTCTTCTCATGTGTGGCAGTCGCAGTCACAGTCACAGCCGAGCCGGGCGCGGACAACGGCGCGGCGACACTCTTTTGAGTTGCCGCCATGCAAGCTGCCATGAAGGGCCCAGTGGCCAGCCTGGAGGACACCTGGGTGCGAGGCGGCGGCGCCGCCCTGGGCGCTTCTGTGGGCTGGTGGTCTTTGGCAGGTGGGTAGGTCCGGGGGGGCGGCTTGGACGGCGGGCTGGTGCCCGGTGGCGCTTGGGATTCCTCCACTTGCTGGTAGAAGTTGGCGGCAGCGGCCGGGCTGGAGGCGGGGGGTGCTGGCGGCCGACGGGGGTCAACGAGGAGGTCGGGTCTGGAGTCCTTGGATGCGTCGGCTCGCGGGGCGCTGGCAGCAACTCGGGCTGACACAGTCAGCCGGCTGGGTGCAGCAGGAGGCCGGGCTGGTCCTGCAGTGGTGGTGGGAGGCTGGGCCGGTCCTGAAGAGCTGGCTGGAGGCCGGGCCGGTCCTGAAGAGCTGGCTGGAGGCCGGGCCGGTCCTGAAGAGCTGGCTGGAGGCTGGGCCGGTCCTGAAGAGCACTTCGGCAGGATGATCTCGGAGCCCCTGGCCAAGGACGACGGCACGGAGGAGAGAGCGGCGCCCGACGCCGTCTGAGCACGGACGAACGAGGTTGAGGTTGGTGCGTAGGGATGGGGCTTGCTTGAGACTTTAAACGCCTCACGCCACTTTTCAGAAGACTCCCGCCGCTTCGGTTCTTCTCTAGGCTTGTCCGTTCCTTGCTCCTTGTTGCTTGCGTCTTGTTGCTGTCTCGGTGACGTTGCTTTCTGCAGCTTTGCAGGTTCTGCTGGCTTCTTGTTTTCCTTGGTGGAGGTTTGTGCAGGTTCCTGCTGCTGACTTGGGCCTTTTTCCGAAGTCCTTTTCTCTTGCTGCTGACTGGTAGCTGTTTCTGCTGGCTTTGTGGCTTGCTGCTTGGAGGCTGACTCTGCTGGCTTGCCCTGCTTTGGACTGCGAGCTGGCTGCTTCTCTCGCTGTTCTGGTGGCTTCGTGGCTTGCTGCTTGGAGGCTGAGTCTGCTGGCTTGCCCTGCTGTGGACTGCGAGCTGGCTGCTTCTCTCGCTGTTCCGCCTCGCCCTCGTCCCTGCTGGTTCTGCCGAGCAGCGCCTCGAGCCTCTCCGTGCTGCAGCGCCGCGCTGGGGGCGGCGGGGGCACCACGTCCTCGGTGGGCAGGTCGGCGGCGGGCAGCGACTTGCGGCGGACGGCGGGCAAGGCGCCGACGCGAGACTCGGGCGTCACGGTGGGCCTGGCGTTGGCGCTCGCGTCCACGCCCAGGGGGATGTACTTGCCGGCAGGCGCGTAGCGTTGCATGCCGCGGCCGCGACCACGACCGCGGACTCGACCGCGACCACCGCTCAAGGACAGTCTGCACACCTTCCACGGACGGTCTGCGAGGGGCGCTTGGGACTGGCTGGGTGATTGGCCGGGTGATTGGCTAGGAGGCTGGCTGGGGGATTGATTGGGAGGCTGGCTGGGGGATTGATTGGGAGGCTGGCTGGGCGATTGATTGGGAGGCTGGCTGGGGGATTGGCTAGGAGGCTGGCTGGGCGGGGACATCTCCGGGCGCCTTGGTTCCTCCCGGTCGTTCCTGGGGCGAGGCGGCTCGGGGCTCGACGACTCGTCTCTGTACCGCACAGTGGAGCGAGAGGAGCGGGGTGAAGTCCTCCGCTCCCTGGCACGGTCGTAGCGGGGCGGAGAGCGTCTGTCCCTCGGGCGGCTGGAGTGGCGCGAGGAGCGGGGCGACGATTGCCTATCCCTGGAGCGTGGTGAAGATTGCCGTTCCCTGGTGTGGCTGGATCGGGGCGAGGGGTGTCTATCCCTGGAGCGTGGTGAAGATTGCCGTCCCCTGGTGTGGCTGGATCGGGGCGAGGAGTGTCTTTCCCTGGAGCGTGGAGGAGAACGCCGTTCCCTGTCCGCGCCCGAGCGTGGTGAAGTGCGTCCTTCCCTGGTGGAGCGCGGCGAAGAGTGTGCCTCCCTACCAGAGCCGGAGCGGGGCGAAGTCCGCTCTTCCCTTGAAGAGCTGTAGCGCGGCGAAGAGTGTGCCTCCCTACCAGAGCCGGAGCGGGGCGAAGTCTGACGCTCCAGGCGTGGCGGTGACGGCGACCTCCGAGCGTCCTGGGAGCTGCTGGACCGAGGGGAGTCTTCTCCGCGGTGGCGCGGTGAGTCGTCGTGGCGGTCCCTGGACCGTTCCGGCGAGCGCGGCGAGCGAGCCTGCTGCTGCATGAAGGCGAAGTTCTTGGAGTAGAGGGGCCTTTTGGCGATGGATAGGATTAGAGGCGGCGGGGCCCGGGCGGTCGCAGCGGCCTCGTCGTTGGTGGTTGCAGTGGCCTCGGCAGGGTCCTTGACGGTGTTGCCAACCCCGGCGCTGTCAGCCCCGGTGTTGCCAACCTCTTCGGTTTCAGTCACGTCGGTGTCCACCGAGGAGGCGTTGGAGGAGGGATTGGCGTCCACGGTGCTGGCGTCGCTCAAGTCAGCCACCGTGTTGGTGGCGCTGGCGGCTGAGGCCTTGGGCACCTCCCCGTCGGACGACGAGGCCGTCGCCGGGCTGAGCGCCGGGCTGAGCGCCGGGCTGTTGGACTCGCTCAACGACTCCATGACGTAGCCCTCCGTGCTGCGTCGCAGTCGCACCTTCAGCCCGGTGGCTTCCGCCGGCGGCAGCGGGTTGTCCTTCTTCCTCTTCTTTTTCTTCTTTTTTCTGCGCTCCGAAGGCACGGGGGGCACGTCGTCGGCGAGGTCTGCGCCGCAGCTGGCGTCTTGCGTCGTCCTATCAGTGGGCTCGGCGTCGGCGGGCTGAACGGTGGGCTGGGCGTCGGCGGGCTCGGCGTCGGTGGGCTGAAAGTCGGCAGGCTCGGCGTCGGCGGGCGGCCTGTGGGCGAACGGCCTGTCGGTGCACTCAGTCTTGGATTCCGCGGCCCGGCCAGCCACTTCTATCTTGACGGAACTTCTTGCGGCGAAACCCGCATGGCTCGTACTGTCGGGTTCACTTTTAACACTATCAGTCTTTGTCTCTTTTAATCTGCAGTTGATCATGAAGGAGATCATGTGGACCCCGGTCGGTATCCTCAAGTAACGGTTCAGAGCCTCGACCGAGGGGATCAAGGCCCCGGCAAAGGGGAACATGTAGGCCAGGTGGGCGAGCCGCTCTGCGTCCTCCATGCCAGCCGTCACCTCGAAGAAGGCCTCCACGACCTGGAGGACGTCTGCCTCGCTGGTGTCGCCTGGGGGGCTCGCTTTTTGGTCCTGACGGGCCTGGTCGTAAGTCACGTTGAATGTCGCCATGGAGATGGCATTCTCCATGGTCGGGGACGGCAGCCTCAGCAGTCTCTCCAGCACGAACTCACTGACGCCAGGATAGGCCGGCATGAAGCTCTTCACCACATCGGCCAGGCGGCCATGGGACTTGCAAAAGTTTATCATCACAACTAAAATTCCTTTTATCTCTTCTAGTTTTACTTTTTTATGTTCATCAGCTGACCCACTGGAGGCTGTACTCGCAGAAGCACTAGAAACACTCCTTGGCACATTTGGTATTGATCTAGAGGCCGGACTTGTAGAGGCACTAGATACACTCGCAGGCGCATTTAGTGTTGAACTAGTGGCTGTACTTGAAGAAGCACTAGAAACACATGTCACATTTGCCGTACCCGTAGATGCACTAGAAACGTTTTTTAGCATACTTATCGTATCACTTTGAGCACTTGGCATAGAGGTAGGTAGACTATCAGGTACTTGTAGCAGAGCAGACGGTAGATCTTCGGTGGTGGGCACCGCCCCAGCAAACTCGCTCTCGCCCAGCACCGCGTCTTCTTCGGCCACCTCAGCCGGCGGCTGGTGCGCCATCGGCACGTCCACGGGCACCAAGGCCTCGCTGGACAACTCGGTGGAGGCCTGACTCGGCGATTCCCTTGGTGCTTCGCTTGACGCTTCCGTTAGAGCTTCCGGTACTTCCCTCAGAGCCTCCTCGGGTACTTGCTCGGGGACTTCCTCGGGCGCCTCCACTGGTGCCTCCTCGGGCAACTTCGCGGGCAACCTCTCGGGCAGCTTGGTCGACCTCTTGACGGGCACCTCCACCGCCACCTCGGACTCCGACGACGAGTCGATGACGCAGACACCGTCGGACGAGTCCGACGAGATAACGATGGGCGATCCCACGGGGCTGGCTGGGAGGTCCGTGAGGTCCATGTAGGCGGGGGCGGTCCACGGCAGGGGGGAGTCGCGAGGCTTCCTCTTGGCGTCGTCCTTGCTGGAACGGCGCGCCTCCTTGTCGCCGTGCCGCTTGCCGTGCGAGGAGCTCCCGCCGCTTCCGCTGTCCGAAGAGTGCCTCCGCTTGGCGCCATCCTTGTCGCTCTTGCCGTCGTCCTTGCGGTCCTTCCGACGCGAGTCGTCCTCTGCCGACGGCTTCCTCTTGTGGTGCTTGTCCCCTTCCTCCGCCGACGCCTTCCTCTTGTGGTGCCTGCCCTCTTCCTCCGCCGACGCCTTCCTCTTGTGGTGCCTGCCCTCTTCCTCGTCCAGCGCCTTCCTCTTGCGTCGCTTGTCCTCCTCCTCGTCCAGCGCCTTCCTCTTGCGTCGCTTGTCCTCCTCCTCGTCCAGCGCCTTCCTCTTGCGCCGCTTGTCCTCTTCCTCCGACGACAGCTTCCGCTTGTGCCGCTTGTCCTCGCGGCGCCTGTCCTCGTCCTCGTCGGGCTGGTTCTCGCGTCCGCGCGACGCCTCCCTGGGCTCTGCCTCCCTGGGCTCCGCCGAAGAGGCGCTCCTGGAGCTGGCGGAAACAAGAGGGCGTTGTAAAGGGCAACATTTTCAAGCGTCTCCGCTTCCACGCGGTCTGCACTTACTTGGAGGTCTGCTGCAGCACTCGGCCCGTGGCGTTGGCGCTGCGCTCTAAGGACGGCGTCCTGGAAGGCGGCCTCGACGGCGGCCTGGACGGCGGCCTCGACTCCGTCCTGGAGGTCGAAGCCACCGCGGCGGCCGGGTCGGCCGGGACGTCGGCTGGAGGAGCATCGTCTTCCTCGTCGTCGGAGTCGTCGATGCAGTTCTTGGCGCCGCGCCGCACGGGCTTGACGGGGCTGTCGCTCTCGCTCCCACTGCTGGAACGCCAAACCCGTCAAATTTGGAACAAACAAAGCCTCGCAAAGCAAAAATAAGTACCCACCTCGACGAGGAACTCGTTAGCAGATATTTGCTGCACGAGGGCTTGCTGCTCGAGGGCTTGCTGCTGGACGAGGACCTGCTGGTGGAAGGCTTGCTGCTGCTGGGCTTGGCCGGGACATGTTTCCTGGGGAGAGACTGGGCGTGAGCGACACCGAAAAAAAGCGGTACTTCAGACAACGGCTGGAACGGAAGTTGAGGACAAATCAAGAAAACCAAAGTACAGTATGCGAAACTCGTGAGGAGGCCGTTCTACTGTTCCGCCGCAGAGTAACATTCTCATACTATTCCGACTTCCGTTCTTCTGGATTTCTCCTCAACTTCCGTCCCAGCTCTTCTCCGCAGCGCCTTGTGGCGCCTTACCTGTTGCGACTCATTGGTCCGCCAGCGTCCGCGCGCACGGCATTCACGTAGCACCCGTTCAACAGCTGCCGGATCGAGCGTCCGCCGCTGCCCGACCGCAGAGCGTTCGCCTGCTTGCGGATCTGGAACAGGGAGCGGTCACAAATGATCATTCCGAACAGAAGGGTGTCAGACTCGCCGTCTCTCTCTCTCTGGCGCGCTTATGGGGCCGCGTCCCGTCGGGGTGCGAGAGAGACGGCGGGGCCGCGCCACGAGGGGCGAACACAGCGGAACACAGGGAATGCCTAAACTCCGGGGACGGGAGTGGGGGGCTAGCGCGCTGGGAGGGGGTAATGCCTCCGCGCTAGAAACGGGAGTGGGGCCTGGAGCCGCGCGGAGGGAATGCCACACGCTGGAGAGACGACGGCACAGGGAAAGCCAAAACGCTAGAGAGACGACGGCACAGGGAAAGCCAAAACGCTAGAGAGACGACGGCACAGGGAATGCCACACGCTAGAGAGACGACGGCACAGGGAAAGCCAAACGCTAGACAGACGACGGCACAGGGAATGCCACACGCTAGAGAGACGACGGCACAGGGAAAGCCAAACGCTAGACAGACGACGGCACAGGGAATGCCACACGCTAGAGAGACGACGGCACAGGGAAAGCCAAACGCTAGACAGACGACGGCACAGGATGTGAACGAAGTGGGCAATGGTTAAACACTGTGCCCTTATCATAGTTGGAGCCAAGGTCAAGACGCAAAGAGGGGGGGGGGAGGTGCAGGGGGCTACACCAGCCTTCCGGTCGTCGGGCTACAGTTACAGTTTCTCGCGGCCCCTAGCCGGTGGCTGTCGGCGGCCCAAACGAGCCGCGACGAGCAGCGACGCCGAGACGTCCGGGCAGCACAGGCCGCCGCTATGCGACGCCCCGCGACGCCCCGCGACGCCCCGCGACGCCCAGCGACGCTATCGAAGCCGTGTGTGCATACCGCGGGGCTTGGCGCACAGGCGGTAGTACGACATGGCTCGTCGGGGTCAAGTTCACGGAGCAGCTCGGCAGCACGGCCAGTCCAGCGCCCAGTAGATTTGCCAGAAGACCGGGCGACGGCCAAAACTCTTGGAGCGTTTTGAGCTCCAGAGTCGCTAAACAGGAGTTGAACCGAACATGTGACCCCACCAAAAGATTCCTCGTTCGAAGAGCAATCGATTGATGGAGTCACACGTTCGGTTCGAGTCCCATTTAGCGACTCTGGAGCTCAAAACCCGTCCGGAATTTTGACCACCTCCACCGGTCTTCAAGCTAGTCCACTGTGCAGCGCCGCAACATCCGCGCCGCTCTGCGCATTTCGGCAGCGACTGTACCACTGGACCACGGCTAGCACGCCTTTCCTAGTCCTGCTGGAGATCGTCGAGACGATGGTCGAGACGGTAGTGGCTGGGTCTGGGCCGTAAAGTACAACCCCCGCCAGCCCGCCAGCCCTCCACGGCCCATTGTGTGACACCTCGCAGGGTCGCGCGGGCTAGTACACTGTCACAAACACCGCTCCAAGGCAAAGAGTTGGGTCTTGCCGGCCTGCCCAAATGGGACCTCTAAATGCCGAGTCCTACGGAAAGAATGAGTACCCTCTCCGCTTTCGCCGCTTTGTTGACGAAGGTTCGGACGGCACGGTCATTTCATCCCTCCGTCTCTCTCGCACTCACGGGGCGTCCCCGCATGGCTGCGAGAGAGACTGAGCGACCAAATCACTGATCGGAATCAAACTGCAGGGGGCCCGGCCCTGTCAAAGACCTGCGAGGGAAAAAAGTAGGGGTCGTGGTGACGACTACGGAGCAGGTGCAAAAACCTCCATGGACCACCTACACGGTAAGTAAAAACACACTCGCATTCTAGGCTCCGAGCAGCAAAAGGCGACACGCCTCGGGCGGCGCGACGCTGACGCCGATTCGAAACCGACCCGCCCGTCTCGATGCCGTAGGAGAATCCTGTGGCAGGCCGCTAATGAACACTGTTAAAAATGTCATGAATTTTCATTACAAATATGTATTGAAAATTCATGAACGCCATTAAATTTCACATCGGCCATGAAATTTCATGAATCTACAGTCAAACTCCTCGTTTTGTCCCGCTTTGGACAAAACGAAGGACCGACCCCGGCCGGCCGATGCGGATTAGGCCGCCGGAATCCCTACCTGGCCGGCCAGCGACGGCAGGCATCGGCCGGCGGGGCGCGACCCGGGCCACGGTGGTGGGGATGACTCCGGGACAAAACGAAGGACCCAGAAGAGGGACAAAACGAGGAGTTTGACTGTAATGAAAGACGTGACTGTGACCGATAGTTTAAGCCCTTATTGATGCTGCCGGCAATGTTAACGAACACAGGGAGCCACTAAGGAGGTTAACAAGCCCCCTCTCTCCCACGTCACTGCACGTGGTTCGGGGACGGTCCCTCGCCCTTCGAGTCTCAAGTCAGCACGCTGCGCACTGCGTGGACTGCGTGGCCTGCGTGGCGGAGTCGGCGCGGCTGGCGCGGCACCGTTCACGCGGCGGTTCGCGGCGTCAGCGAAAACGACCAAACGGGCCAAAGCCATACGCGCGTTCCACGGCCTTTCTTTCAAAACAAAATTAAGGCCCCGTCGGGCAGCCACTCCGTCGCTCAAGTGTGTGGCAGAGAAAACGCCATAAACGCCAGACGGCCGTTCTGAGGAAAACAAGGGACACCGTGAAAAGGGACTCTCGTTAGACCAATTCCGGATTTTCCGAGGTGCGGGAAGTTTGACAGCCACAATGCCGATTGCCCTATTTTCTAGAGGGTGGTAGTCGCCCCCGCCCCGCCCCGCGCCGGCGTGGGATCACACTATATCAGCGCGTCGCGCGAAGTCGGTCCATACTCCAAGCGTGGCGGCCGTAGCGCGTCCATACACTATGTCAATATTTATTAGCACGGCGAAAGAGCGCCGCGCCGCAACACAAACTGCAATGTAGGCCCAGCACGGCGGGGGGGGGGGGGGGAGCGAGAGAGACAGACAGGCAGAGCGACGACGTGCGACATCAGTCGGCAGTGTGGCGCAAAAGGCAAACCGTTCTGCGCATGCACCCCTTGCAATTTGATCGACCTGCCCCCCCCCCTCCCCCGGCCCCACTAGCCTCACACGCGCCTCACTGGCCACACCCATCACGGCAAGTCAGGACGCAACACCCTGTGGCTGATTACCCAGTGGCAAGTCTCTCTCTCCCTCGCACTCATGGGGCGCTCCGTACCGATGCGAGAGAGGCAGACCGACGACCGCACCGTGCAGAATCAGTCTACTGATCAATTGAGCATGCCCAGAGCAAGCACTACTGCCCCTTCGATCAGGGGGCGGCTTGGAGGAAGAGCCACGGGTACGACTTACGACTTCGACTCCCCCCCCCCTTCTCTCTCTCTCTCGCGTGCCCCTCAAGGAGAAAGACAAAATCCAGGCAACCCCCTGCACAACCTTCGTTTCGTAAGCACCACAGCCTCTCATCTTCGTGAATAGCCTTATTTCTAAGGGCCAAGGCGTAGGAGGACCTTTTGAGGAAGGGGAAGGGGAGGGGAAGGGGGAGGGGAAGGGGGAGGGGAAGGAGAGGGGTAAGGGGGGAGCGGGAGGCACCCGGGCCCCTCCCCCCCTCAGCCAGGTGCACACCACGCGGCTGCACGATCGAATGCGATCCGGCCTCACCGTTAATCAGATTTGCCTCGTCAAAGTTTGAGGAGGGGGAGTCTGGTCGGACAAGTGACATTCGTGCACGTTTGTTTACGTGAGGCGTTTGGGGCGAGGACAAGATGCGATGGCGGGCACCGCTGGAGCTGGAACCTGCCACGCGGCTACACTAGACTCGGCGGGCGTTTCGTCCCTTTCCCCCACCTGTGTGAGCGAGCGGGGCGCGCCGGCAGCGCGAGAGAGACAGAGCGACGAAAGCGCGCCGATCGCGACCGCCGTGCCGCAACAATGGCAGGGGCGGGCAGGGGCGGCGGGACGACGGGAGACACTCACCGAGCGCAGGACTCATCCCTGAGACGCCCTCATCAAGTCGCCACGCGGCCACGCGGCCAAACTCACTCGCGCACACACACTCGTTTTCCGCACGCTGGTGTGTACACCAGAAATTACAGCTCGACGCTCGGCGCGCACCACTGCTGCTGGCCCCGACCGAGAACGTACTGACTGACCTGATGCTGATGCACTGCAAGAAGCACGGCGCGGGCGCGGTGGCTGCCGCCACCACCGCCGCCGCCACCGCGCCGTGCCGCCGCGCAGCCACCGCCGCACCGCTCCTATCCCCGGTGCCTAGTGGCGGCGGCGGCAGCGCCTACAGCCGCTCAGCTGGCTGGCTGCTGCTCTGCTACTGGCCGCGCTGGCCGTGCCGGGGGAACGCCGCCCCCTCCCCCTCCCCCTCCCAGCACCGCGTCTTCCAGGGAAAACTGCCCCGGCAGAGGCTGCATGCACCGGGCGGCATGCGGCATGCCACGGCATGCTCCCTGCGCTGCACCTCAGCGCGACCACGTGACGTGCGAGAGAGAGAGAGAGAGAGAGAGAGAGAGAGAGAGAGAGAGAGAGAGAGAGAGAGAGAGAGAGAGAGAGAGAGAGAGAGAGAGAAAAGATGCCGCAAATCGGACAGCCTTGTTCCTTCTGGTGCAAACATCCGCGGCGCGCGGCGAGGTGGCCGCCCGGGGCGTCCGGATGCTCCAGCAGGGCTCCTGAAAGGAGCCCCAGGAAGTGCAGCGTGATCGCCACGGCGCAATGTCAAAACCCAATTCTTTTCATTGTTTACACAACTGGCCCTTGTTCGCCCTTGTTGGAGGCGCGAGCCCATCCGAGGGGTCAACCACGTTGGATGTTTGGGGACACAAGATTTCTTGAGGCAAGAGATTTCGCAAGATATCATCCAATTTTACGCAAAAAAATCTGGCTTTTAAGTCTTTCACGGGAAAGATTTCGGATTTCCAGGGATTTTTAAGGCTCCAGGGGACACAGGATTTCTCGAGTAGTTGCCCGCTCGTGCCCATCACTCTAGTTTGCTTTGTTTTCCACTGTTCCACATCGATTCGAAGCTAGACTGGCTGCTGCGCGCCGGAGATGCCCACCCCAAAGTCGACGACCACCTAGAACGCAAT